GGAGTCCCCACTCCAGGTGCTGAAAGACAGAGACAGAGACTCGGGTGAAAGCATCTGTCTCACTCCGAAGTTTGACTCACTTCCCCTCTCACACGCGCAGTCTATTTCTTATACGTCTATGGTTTTCGCTAAAAAATACTCCGATTTAGCAAAGATTCGAATTAAAAAATTGGAAATATAATCTCGTTTGGATTGACCGCCGCTCTCAGACATCTTTCTGGCGGTATCATGATGTAACGAGACAATGAATTTTCAATCACAATGGCTGTGTTGACATGTGTGATTGGTCAATTTTGTTTGCAACAAAAAGCGATTATTGTAGACGAGGTCTAATGTTGTAAAATTTATCCCCGCCAACTTCGAGCCGTTGTCAAGGCAACACGTGCATCGTCAAACTGATGTGACATTCGGTGACAGTTGCTTCAAAAGTTAATCGTCAAAAAATATGTAAATATCTTCTAGGTGTAGAATGTTGTAAAATATTTTATACTTTTTTTTGTTCTCTCGTGAAACGAAACTAACGCAACAATGCCTTTGTTTTCCAACAAATTTTCTCCCAAAAAAACACCGACTAGAAAGGCATCGGTTTTTCTGGCAAATAAAAATTTAAGTCCCAAGCGAATAGAAAAGGAACTTGGTCCCGAAGTTGGTCCCATACGTCTTCGACTTGGAGATCAGGAAACGGTGTTCGAGGCTGGTCTGTGGATCCCAGGTAAACAATAATTGTGTGCTATAACCTGGAAACTGTGTATCACGTTCTCTGATCTTCTTTCGCATATTGAAATTTATATTTTTTTTTTTTACTTCAGAATCAGGCAAGGCAGGAAGCACTTTTAAAGAGAATGACAAGCTGAAGAAAGAGGTGAGGCGACTAGAAGAAGAAAACAACTTGTTAAAACTGAAGTTTGAAGTGTTATTAGACATGGTAAATAATTGTGTTGTTTTGCAGATATCTTAAAGTTAGAGATGAGCCAAAATATTATATTTGAAACATACACGAATTTTTAGAACAATTATATATAACAACGATGTTAACGATACATATTAATTTCTGACAAAATTTGATTCAATAGCTAACACAAACTACTGCTGAGGCTCATTCGCAGAAAGAGGAATTAGAGAGATTAAAACCCGTTTCTCTTAACAAGAAAGTTGCCACTTAATCTGCTAAGCATTGTTTTGACTAGAGAGGTGAACAGGAACTATATTGTCAATCTCAATTAAGTTTTAATCAACTGACTGCATCTCTTAATTTTTTTTTATTTGTACGATTAGTTGCGATTCAAGAAAGAGAAATTCAAGTTTAGAAATTCTTAATTACACTTTTTACAAAACTGTAGTAAATATTATGTAAAAACTGTACATTATATTCATCATAACGGATTGTTACTAAATTAGATTTTTAATCCATCGCGTTGTGTGGACATTTAGTTCTTGTGTGACCTGTAAAAAAAAAAGACAAACATATCAAATATTATAATATGTAAGTGTTATATAATAAAATTTATGTAATAAAACATAAGCACCGATTATTTTTAATTTGGAAAAAAGCTATAAAATGTGAACCTATAATGAAAATAAATAGATTTTATTATATTCTACCTTCAACACCGCAATTTCCGCACTTTCTTTTAGTGCCAGTGAGCTTGGGCCTTTTCGGAGCACTGCCACCTCTATTGCTACGCGCTCTGCTCCCTCTATTTGCATTAGAATTATTGTTCCAGTTTGTATTTTCACAATTACCAGCATTGTTCTCATCTGCCCACTGAAAGAAATTGCAAGTAGAGTTCATGCCATTCGGACACCCGTAAAATTGCCGTCCCTTATTTGGCCCTTCTTTGTTAACTGTCAGTCTGAAAAAAAATATCCCAACGGAGTTAGTCTCAAGTTCATATTTTTATCTAGACCAATCTGCAAAAGAGAGAGTTCGCTTACTTTCGGGCGGGTTGATCACAGGTACACATAACATCGTTCGTCGACGCAACTTGCCAGTCATTATTAGGAGCAGCAATACGAGACGAGTGACCAGCACTGTTGTTGCTTCTATCCACTCGATTTACACGATCGTTTGTTGTATCGTTTTGAGTTTCGCTGTCCGATGCCCACAAGAAAAAATCACAACCGCTACCTTGTGGCTTGGCGCATTTGTAAAACAGACGTCCTAAAATCGCGAGTAGTATGAGAGACGTGTGTGTGTGAAGAACATTTATATTTCTAGAATGTGAAAGATACCACCCCCACTTACCTTTGTTCGGTCCCTCTTTCCTCACCGTTAATTGAATCGCGGTTTCATGGCACTTGCACATAATTTCGGCACTGCTGTCAATATTACCCCACGCGTTGGTTCTATCGTTGGCGTTAACAGCATTTCTGGACCGATCCGATCTGTTTTCCGAATTATTAAAGTCAACCATGTTGTTCCAGAAATCGAGACTTCGTCTATTATCCGATGTTGTCGCGCTTCTATTGACGTTATTCGACGGATTGTTCGACCGAAAAGTGTTGGAATGATTTTGTGCGTGTCTTCCGGACAAGTTGGGAGTTTCAATCAACTCAACGTCGCTGTCATTTTCACTAGATCTCATCACACTTGTAGGAACTTGTCGTCGAGTGCTCTGCGACTGGGATGTACTTGAGGTAGAAGTGAAACTCGACGTGTTCCTCGTATTATTTTGACTGACGGAATTAACTCTTCCAGTTTGGCTTATAGCGTCGTCTTTTATATTCAGCATTTCTTTGAACACAGTATCACAGCCTATACACGTGGTGTAAGAGGTGCCGTACAACGGTATAACATTTCTAACCAGCTTGAATTTTAATTTGCGCATGTCCGTTGTACACTGAAAAAACGCGAGTTGTACATTTCACGTTAATCCAATTGCATCATTCGCACACCTATGTGAAATACGATGAAAACGCTCTTTACCTGATTGCATGTTTCGTTCAAAATCTCTACATCCTCCACAGCTTCCGGGAACCAGATTGTGTTGGTACACGCTGGATATCCCGTACAACTAATGTACTTTCCTCTGCCTTGTCTTCTGTTTTTCAGAATCATGTTGGAGTTGCATTTCGGACACTTGAAAACAGCGACTTCGTCCACCGGCATGATTTGCGATTGTTCGGCTTGAGTCGGTCTTTCGTCGAGATATTTTGCCAGAGCGTTGTCTATCAAATTGGCGCGTTCCATCGACACTCTGAACACTTCGCGGTATTTGTTAATTTGGTTTTGCAACACTTCCTTCGGATCTTTTTGACCCTGGCATATCCTGCGAGATAAAATGCAATTTTTTCATTCAGAAGTATACAAGATAAAATAAATCTTTTACGCACAGAAAAAGAATTAATCGACTTACAGTTGCAAATCCTTTTCCAGATCCGCGCGCAAATGTGGTTTCGACATTTGAAATCCCATGTCGTCGTAACCCATGACCAGTCCAATCCCCAATTTGCCCGGCATGAAGTGTTGAGTGTCGGTCAAGCCTACGTATTGTCTGGATTTGATGGTGTCGATGTGATCGGCATGAGTCGCGTCCGTGCCGATGCCGTGTTTGTCCATCAACGCGATCAACTCGGCTTCGGTCAACAAACTCGGCGGCGAGGTTTTCTCTTCCACCATATCTATGCTGGCGGGTCGAAAGATCTGTCCCTGTACGTAAGAGGGAATCTCTTTGTTGCTCCACTTGTCGTAAATGTACACATCGAGATAATTCTTGACTATAATCTCGAGACCGTTAGCCGTGAATTTTTCACCCGCTATGTTGATCTCCACCGTTGTTTCCCGACCCTCCGCATTCTTCGACAGACAAGCCAAGAAATGCCGTACCACAAATTCGTAGACTTTAGCATCGTTTCCTGTCAACGAGTATCACGATTGTTTTCAATGCGGTCGATTTAAAAATTTAAAAACCAGAGACTCTTTAAAAAAACGGACCTTGCAAATTGTCGGTGTACTTCGTAGGATGGATCGGAGGATGCGCTTGATCGCTTTTCTTTCCCTGTCTGGGAGTTATTCCGGTTTCCAATAAATTTTGCGCGAAATTTCCCCACGCCCGATTGTTCACTTGTTGTTCGACCAGAGGTGCTAGATTCAACTCCTTTGGGAATATGTTGGTCTCGGTACGCGGATAACTGATGAAACCTTGGGTATACAATCTCTCCGCTATTCTCATCGTCTCCTTGGCGTTCAAACGCAACTTGCGAGAACCTTGTTTCTCCAATTCCTGAAGTTGAAAATTCGCGCGGCAAGTAAATAAACTTTATATTTCGTATTAAAATTCAATAATTTTTAATTAATTTATTAATCTAACAATTAATTTTCCTCTTGTACTCACAATTGTGTCCAAAGGTAGAGGTCTCCACTTGCTCTTTGGCTTGCATGTTATTTTCTCCACCTTAGCTTCGGGCTTTTCCAAACACATGTCCAAGAAGATCTGGCAGGGCATCTTCTCGAACAGCCTTACTCTGGCCCATCTGAATTCCACAATTATTCCATTACGTTCGTCAGTAACTTTTAATTTCCAATAAGGCTCGGATTTGAATCGATCGATGGCTAAAAATCTTTCAACCACGAATCCAAGTGTCGGAAACTGACAGCTTCCGTAACTTATGAGCATATCTTTGAGATTTTCGGGAAACACTTTCTGCAGTCTTAAGGTTTGGAATCTTGTAAATGCAGCGCCTACAAATGTGTGTTTGAAATTCTTAAAAACATTACAATTTAATTACAACATTTGCAACAACATAATTGTTATCAATAGAATCAATACCAATTCTTAAATCTAATTCGCTTCTCACATCTACGGCATCGCTCATTGCCTTATCTGGCTCTCCCAATGTTTGTAAAGCTCTATCAACAGACTGTCTTGTGATTTCTGAGAACTTTGCTCTGGAACACAACAAAAATCCACAAATCTTGCATTAAATTGAACAAATAAAAGAAAGAAAAAAAATACAACAAAACCTTTTCATTTATTACCTATACACACGAATATTTGGTTTAACTGCCTTGCAAACTTCTATGATTTCAAAACCAATGTTTTCTCCTTCTCTGTCACAATCAGTCCAAATGATCAATGCGTTGCAAGATCGCACTTCTCGCTCCAAAGTCTTTTTGATTTGTACGTAAGTGTCTTCCGAGCACTGTTTGACTACTGGAGCTTCAAACAGGCTCAATGGATTACAGCCTAGCCACTTGCGATAAGATCCGGTGAAGTCATAATTTAACAAGTGACCCGATACCGATGTCATTACCATTTGACAGTTTTGATCCCACAATTGTACATTGAAGTCAAAGATTTTGTTATACTTGCATAAACCTTCTCTCTGTAATAAAAACACGGTTTAATAACGTAAGTAAAAATAAAAAAAAAAAGAAACATGTGCGATCATGAATTTAATACGTGACTGTTTACCTTTCTATTGTTACCTCTCGATAAAAAATAAGCAATATTTTTTGCAGCATCGTGTTTTTCGGCAACATTCAACACTTTCATGTTGCGCTTTCCGAAAGTTTCTCGCGAGCAGTATTGTCTTATCAGATATAAATTATTTACAAACTTGGGTGAGTTGCAGACGGTTTGTTTGAGCGTTACATTGCAAAATGATACACGACTTAGTAAATTGTAAAATGTAAAATGAGCCATAACGCGACGTGTAACATCGTTAAATTCGCTGTTGCGCGTGTAAGAGTTGCAAACAAATTCGTTCCTCCACTTCTCTTCTTTTAAAAACAGCGCACACTTGATTACCGAGTATTTATTTAGTTCAGAACTTCCTTACTGTAATAAAAATATACAATTGACAGACACTGTGTTGCGCGACACCGCGAAAGTTCGAAAAATAAACAAGTTGCTCGCTTACGTAAAAAACGAGCATTTAAACATCAAAAACAATACCCGAGGTTAGGAGATCTGTCAGATTCGTAGAATTGGCGGTAAATGAAACATAAATGGCTCGTTTATTTGCGATTGGCTCATCATCTCATTTTTTCCTCCGCGTGTGATCGCGCTTTAATTCCTCGTCTGCGAGGAAAACTACGAAGCATTCGTTGCGTACCGTGGCCTCTCAGGCCGGTAACACACCCGGGAGTTCAACGTTGACGACGAGACCGACTCGGAATCAACCAATCACGGGCTGACGTTCTTTCGGACATTCGAGCGAACGCTGGCCTGTGATTGGTCGTGGATTTTAGATTGGATCTTTAAATTCTTTCGCGTGGTCTTGGCTTTAGGGTAGGTCAGTAGGTCTAGGTTGGGTTGGGTTAGGCCTAGTAGGTCTCATTCATTTTGACGTGGTCGATCAGACAACTCTCGAACCGATTGTTGCATTTCCAATTGAGACGATCAAAGACAGGGTACACAGTACAAGGTGTCATCATGCCGTTGTTTGTCATTCACAATGATCAGTGCAGGATTGCGTAATATTTCGTCACATTAAAGATCTGCGTTCGTATTTTATTCCCCAAAAAGTTTAAAAAGTTTCCACCGGTGTCAAATGGCTTGGCTCGGCACAATCGCAAACAACGTGCTGCGAAACGTCTTCTCGGACGCACCGCCTTACGTAGTTCTGGAGGTCCGTCCGGAGAATTACAGCGATCGGCACATACACTCGCGCGAGGATGGGATTGTGCTCTACGGTGCTTCCGGAAGCAAGAGTCTGGATAAATTCGAGATCGTGCTGCACAGACCCTGCACCGAGACTTTGCACCAAGCGTACAGGTACCGTTTCGTCGTGTTGCGATTCAAGTAGATAGATTGATCGTTTCACGTTTTTGTTTTAAATTTATTTGAAAAATTTGGTTTTAGTTAAAAATTTGCTTCAGACACGATTCCAAAATAAGAGATTCGAATTCCAAGTTTTTTTGCTAATTAAGTTTCTTCGATTTGAGATATTTTCTTAATTTATCGAAAATAAATGTTAAATAACAAAATGGATGGTTTTTCTCTTTTGCAGTCTCTTCAGATCTGCAACTCTGGAAGGAGCGGCGTCACGATTTACAATATACAAAGACAAAGTTCCCGTGCTTGTCCAGTTGTCACGCGAGGTAATATTTTATGTCTTTCGCACGTGCAATTTTATATACATCAAAAATTTTGTAATTGCTACATCAACGTTTTGTTTTTTTTTTTTTATTTTCCAAGATGTGTAATACTGCAAAAATTCAAAAACTTTGCGACACCCTGGTGGAACATCCGACATGGACTCTGGCACACTTGGCAGCTTATTTCGCTCTTCACGACGCGTTTTCGCACGCCGTTGTCAACAGCCAGCTCAACAGCGGCGATCTCGAAACTGGAATCTCACCTTTGCAAGTTGCTATACAGACCAACAACTTGCGTACCGTTGAAATGCTAATAGCAGCAAAGAGCTCGTTGGAACATTTGGATCACGACGCGAACACCGTTTATCATTACGCGGCTACGTCTACCAAAGAGATTATTCTCGCTCTGGGCTCGGGTCTTCCAAACAGTCTGAACAGTCGCAACAGCAACGGTCACACTCCCATTCACGTCGCTTGCCTCAACGACAAACCCGAGTGTGTCAAAGCTCTTCTTTTGATAGGCGCCGACGTAAACATATCCGCTTCCGAAGGCCAGCCCTCAAGTCCTGGCTACGTCGGTGATTTTTTGCACAACAAGCCGAACGTGCTTCACGCCGAGGACATGAAATTCGGCGGCACGCCGTTACACTGGTCGCGCAGCCGCGAGGTAATCACCGCACTGATCGAGACCAACTGTGACATAGACGCGCTCAACTTCAACGGGCGTACAGCGCTGCACGTGATGGTGATGCGCAAACGGCTGCAGTGCGTGGTCGCGTTACTCAGCCACATGGCGTCCGTCAACATCGCCGACAACGACGGCAACACGCCGTTGCATCTGGCTGTTGAGACGGAGACACCGGCGATCGTCCAGACGCTCGTCGGTTTCGGCGCCGATGTGGACGCGCGCAACTGGAAGTCCGAGACGGCCAGACACAAGGCGAATGTCAATACCACCGACGGCAACAAGATAATCTACATACTCCATGCGGTGGGCGCGCAGAGATGTCCGCCCGAAATGACGGGCTGTCATCAGGGTTGCAAGCACAACGAGACCTTTACCGGCATCGCGCCGTCAGAGCCGCTGCATCATGTGTCGCGTTCTATTATCGATCATATGCTACACACGTCCGGCATGGAGAAGATGGCCGAGCCCGGAAATAGAAAGCGATTAAAGGGCGGTAGATTGTTGTGTCTCGACGGCGGCGGTATTCGCGGACTGGTGCTCATACAAACGCTGTTGGAGATTGAATTGATACTGGGCAAGCCCGTGGTGCATTGCTTTGACTGGATCGCAGGCACGTCCACTGGCGGTATTCTGGCGCTCGGTCTAGCCGCCGGCAAATCTTTGCGCGAGTGTCAAGCGCTTTATTTTCGCATCAAAGAGGACGCCTTCGTGGGTTCGCGACCGTACAACAGCGAGGGTCTGGAAAAGGTGCTAAAGGAGTGTCTCGGCTCGTATACCGTCATGGCGGATATCGAGAAGCCACACATAATGATCACGGGTGTGCTCGCCGATCGCAAACCCGTGGATCTTCATTTGTTCCGTAACTACAAATCGCCTCATTCCCTGTTGAACGTGCCAGAGAACCCGATGTTCAAGCCGACGTTATTGCCGCAAGAGCAACTGCTCTGGAAAGCAGCGAGGGCGACCGGCGCGGCTCCGTCTTACTTTCGAGCGTTCGGTCGCTTCCTGGACGGCGGTCTGATCGCCAACAATCCCACCTTGGACGCGATGACGGAGATTCACGAGTACAATTTGGCACTGAAGGCATTGAAACGCGAGGAGGAGATGACGCCGCTGTCGCTGGTGGTTTCTCTCGGCACGGGACTAATACCGACCACGATTACGTTGAACGAGATCGATGTTTTTCGGCCGGATAGTCTCTGGGGCACCGCCAAGCTCGCGTTCGGTCTTTCGGCGCTGGGCACGTTACTGGTCGACCAAGCGACGGCTTGCGACGGTCGCGTGGTTGATCGCGCGCGATCCTGGTGCTCGATGATAGGCGTGCCGTATTACAGGTTCAATCCGCAGCTCTCGACGGACGTCGCCATGGACGAGAAGAGCGACGAGATTCTCGCCGACATGATCTGGACCGCGAAGGCGTTTATGCACGCGAATCGGGATCAGGTGAAGGAACTCGCTGCCATTATTAACCGCGACTCCGCTTCGGATAACGATTAGAGAAATACCATCACCTCATCTCAAGGGATCAAGAAGAACTGGTTCTACAGAAATATATATATCGCACACACATTCACACACGTCCGGTATATCGACGTTTGTTATCGCTGACTCGATTAAAAACAAATAATGCAATTAGCTTAGCAATTAGCTCGTCGCTTAGGACGCGCATATTAGAACTATTATTACTTCAATGTTACTTGCCGTCGTTGTCTCGACGAATGTGATATTATAAGTTTTTTTCTCTCACGGTGCAAATCGCTCCCGTACGTACGTCGCGCGTACATACTCGTGCGATTATTACTCATTAAGATATTTTTTGTAGTTGTACTCGAGGAAACTTGTTTCCCTAGTCATTGAGAATCTCTTTTTGTCAGTTGTCATGTTTGCAGTGTTTTTATATAACATGTACATTTATTGTTCAAGTTTTTGTTCTCTAATATATCTTGCTATTTTTTTTTTTTTTTTTTTTTTTTTTTTGTACAACCGCAAATATGTAAACAATTGTAAATGTGAAGTGACAATTTGAAGGCATTGACAATATAGATCTAACATATATATATTTAGTCACAAAGTTTACAGAGATAAATAAATAATAATAATAAAAAAAAAAAAAAAAAAAAAAAAAAAAAAAAAAAAAAAAAAAAAGGATTACAAAGCAAACCGGAGAATATAATACTCGCAGACTGAAATCTCTATTAAATCTAGTCCATTAAGTACATATTGACCTGCTGATTGTAAAATATATTGTACTTTACCAAAAGTTTCGCGTCTTGCGCACACACGACATTCTAATTCACGACGGAAACTAAACAATCGTTTATGTTTGGCAACAGGACAGAGAGTTTTGTTAAACGAAGACTCTCGGATGAGACTTCGCGCAGTTACTCAGCACACACACACACACCCACACACTTAATTTGTTCTAGAAAGAAAAAAAGAAAAAATACGCCAAACACAGTCTTCTTCCGTGATGATTTTCACCTTCATCGGGGCCCCATGTAGTACGGCGGCTGAGCCATGGACGCGGATATGTAGGGATAAAAGGAAGAGTGCGAGGACACGCTCTGCGACTGATAATCGTTATCCTCGCCGTGAACCGCGTATCCGTCCGCAGCTGGATAATATTGTCCGTGAACGCAAGCGTAAGACGCTTTGGTGGCCGCGGCTGTCGCGTCGCTCATCTCCGCGGGATACTTGAGACCGTCCGGATAGCCTCTGGCCTCGGGATACTTTGGCAGATCGTAGCAGGGTTTGGCCTGGAGCTCCGGGTACTTGGCGCTCGTTGCGGACTCGTGATGGTGATGATGATGATGATACTTCGCCCCGACCATCTCGTGATGGTACTTCGTGCCCGCGGTCATCTCGTGATACTTGGCGACCGCCGTCTCGTGACACTTGACGGCCTCGGCTCCGTAGCTTCTCACCGCGGCGGTCTCGTACGCCGTCGTCTTGTTAGAATGATCCGGATACTTGGCGACCGTCTCGTTCACCCAGACGGATCTGGCGAGATCGTAAGCGCCGGATTTGGGCTCGTGATAATTCGCCGATCGATCGTAAGACTTCGCGCCGATGTCGGGATACAAACGGGCGTACGTGCAGTCCGAGGAGGAGCTGGCCGACGAGTCGAGGGAGGTTCCCGGCGACGAGAGCCCACCTCTGTGCACGATGATGCCCATCTGATCGTCCGACTTCGGCTTCCGCCTGCGCGGCTGGTACTGTGAAAAACACCATCGCGTTTCATTTCGTTAAGAGAATTTTTCGGGAGATTTAATTCGTAATCGAGGTAATTTTTAAGCGCGAAAAAAATCGCCACAGTCGTTTCGCAACAATTTAAACTTCATGAAAATCAAAATGCTCGATAACGCGTCTTCCCAGATCGACTTTCTCAACGACGGTTTCATTTCGCGGAGAGTAGTTTTCGTCGCTAACACGCTGGAGAGATTCGAATCGCAATCGAGCCTCGATTAACCACTCGAGCGAACTTTGAGATGAACGCGCGCGCGCGCACGCTAATTTGTTCGGCGAAATCGAGTCACTCGCGATTTCGCAACGCGCAAAACGCTCTCTGTGTATTCTTTTTTTTTTTTTTTTGTTTTTTCTCACACAACGCGTTGCGAAAAATTCTCTGTCTCTGATTTCTATAAAAACGACGGCCTTTTACTTCAAAGAAAAATCTCGATTACTTTGTTAATTAATTAAGTTATTAATCGGATACCTTGTAATGCGGGTGTTGCTTCTTGTGCGCGTTTCGCAGTCTCTCGGCCTCCTCGATGAAAGGCTGCTTCTCGCCGTCGCTCAAGATTCTGCGCACACAAGATCGATATCGCTGCTGATCGACACACGTTTGACAACATATCGGCAAAATCGAATTATTCGAGACGATTTCGCGAAAAGTTCGCGAACGCATGATTCCAACGCGTCTCTCTTCTTCGATCTTCGCGATCGCGATATTTCGTACTTACTCGAAGAGATTGAGATTTTTTTTTAGAGTACAAAGAGAAGCTTTAAAATGTTTTTTTTTTTTTCACGCGTGTGAGAAAAACCGAATTACCTCCACAGTTTGCCCAGCGTCTTCGACAGTTCGGCGTTGTGCAATTGCGGATATTGGTCGGCCAGTCTTCGCCTCGCCGCCTGCGCCCACACCATGAACGCGTTCATGGGACGCTTCACGTGAGCGCTTCTCCGTCCGCTTGCGCGCGAAGTCACGGGAAGCAGAGTCCAGTCATATCCTGCGGTAAGCACGACACAGAATCGAAGGGATTTTTTGATTCTTTTACAAAAAAAACTATATAAACGAGAAAATCGTTAGAGAATTGATGATCGAATCCCAACGTTTCTCTTTAGATTGTGACGTGAAACACAATTTTTTATTGTTATTTAAAATCTGACGTGTGTTCTTGCGATCTCTCGTGGAGACTACGAAATGAATTTTTGCGAAACGTTCGCGCGATTTCGTGAGTTCAGGTTTTTTCGAGCTCGTTTTATCTCGCGCCGGAAATAAAGATTTTTCCGCGCGGAATCGGATCGTAAAGGAAAGACCGCAGAACGAGATAAAAGAGGAGAGCTGTACACCTGTATCCTCGGCGATTCGACCGACATTTGTCGAGCGCCGCGCGCCCACCTCTCCTTCTTCCGTCTATTCTCTATTTAACTTGTCTTGTGATAGGAGTTTTACGACCTGGAAATTTGTACGAAGGAAGAGAGGAAGAGAAGAGCCTCCCCGAGCGCGCGCGGAACGTGCGCGTTTCTTTATCTTCTCGTCACGTTCGTTCGCGCGAATCAGGAAATTCATTGTCGCGCGTTTGTCTTTTTTTTTTTCGCGCGCAAAACGAAAACTGTGCGAGAAAACGCGCTTCTGTCTTTTAAGAAAAATTTAGTTCGTCACGCGCGGCCGGATTTTTATTTTTAAGTTGCGTATCTCGACGTAATTCGCCGGATGAAAAGTTAAAAGTCCATCGCGAAAGCTCGCGACGGATCGATCAAATCTCAAGTGGGAGAAAAATTACACTCCGGAAATCAGTCCCCGAAAATCTCGCGCTTCGAACAAGGATTCGAATCCTCTCCGGATGTCGTCCCGGGTATATTTCACTTCTCGTGGGAAAGAAACTCCGAAGCGAGTGGAGAAGCCTTGAGAGAGAGTCGTAAAACCTTGTCTCTCCCTTCGAACAACTGTACACCGACACTATGTAAATCTGTTCCGTCTCCGCGGTTCTCCTAAATCTCAATTCCCCGACTCGGGAATCTCGTTCAAATTGGAGAAGGCAAAAAAAAAAAAAAAGAAAAAAAAAAAAAGAAAGAAAATGAAGCACTCGACGACTCGCGCGATTTAAAATACGCCGTAAAATGCGTCAGAAAATCCACATCACGTCCCGGGGATTTTGTGGGACCTGCGCCTCTCTCGGTCGAGAATTATATATACTACGTGTCTATATCTATATTTCTTTAATTGCCGTTGATCGACGAGCCGATCGAGGGGTGGGTTAATTACGCGCGTCAGAGATATCCCGCGCGGAGAGGGTGGAGCACGAGCGGGAATAGAAAAAAAGACGACACACACGTGACGACGAACACGTCGGGATTTGGCAAGCTGGTGGGAGCTAATTATGGTGGGTCCACGGTCCACTTGCGCGGCACTTGTGTCGGCGCTTTTAAGGCGTTCGGGGGAGGTCCCTGCTCGACGCCTGCGCCTCGATAGCCGCGGCCGAAATATATAGGATATTCCACGTAAACGCGGAAAGGGCTTTGTCGAGAACTCGAAACAGAAATAGAGGAAATTTCGCGCTAACTGGGCCAGCGGAGTCGATTGGGCGTGCAAAAAGTACCCCCCCGTATTTGGCCCTTGCCCCTGTGGTCGTGCTACACCGAATCGACTTCTCTCTTAGGCCCAACGCGCAAGATTTTTTTACGTAGACTTTTTTTATACTCCCCGAATTAAAAGTGTTTTTGGTTATTGCTTTTATCTCGATCTGTTCTCGATAGAACCAACAAAAAGAGCCGCGGATTTGTTTTTTTTTTTTTTACATCGGACCGAATTGAGAAAAAAGACAGAAAAAGATCAGCTCGAATTTCTCGAATCTGACAAACTTGCGGACTTTGGATAACGAGTTGACAAATTGGCAATTGCGCGAGTCGACACGAAGAGAGAACTCGCGCAAAATTTTTGTCAATGATTCTAAGTAGCTTTTGTGAGCTGAAGATCAGGGCCGTAGTTAGTCGACGACGGTCTCCTCTTCGGGGTCACAATAGGCGGGTTGTGCGGCCTGGTGAATGAACCGGTGTGTTTAGGCATGCCGCCGGTCAATGACGACCTGTCGTCGACTCTTGCTACATTAACTCCTTTACAAAATCCCGTCTATTACAAATCCGGGACCGGGTCTTTAATAAGGACCCTCTTTAAACGCTTCGACACCTTGTTTCGTCGATGTTTGACGTCGCGCGTTGACGCCACGTGCTCGCTCCGGTCCTCATCGTCGCGCAATGCGAGACGAAACCTTCGTCTCTCCTCGATCATCGAGTCGTATATCAACACAAACGAGCGGATTGTTTATTTATAAAACATTCAGATAAGATTTAACTAACTATAACTTTCTCTATAAGTTCTCCTTTTTTTTTTTTTTTTTAATGTGTGAAAGGAGCGATAGGCTGCAACATTGTGATCGGTTCTTGCTGCATTTTAACGTTTTCGATGTTTGTTTGTATTTTGTTTTATCGCGTCTTTCGTAGAGGAGAGACAAGGCGCGATTTTCTTCGTTGGAAAATTCTCGAGGAAAATTTTTCTCAACAAAAACTACGGTCGGTGGATCAAGTATTTGAACTTGGCGCAAATGTCTCTCCCGTGTTCTCTCGAGTTGTGTGATACAAGGTAACTGTTTGGATTACGCATTTCTACGGGTCGGTGTTTGCGCACACGTGCCGCGCGAACGTCAGTTCTTTCTTCGGCAATTTAAATATTCTTTGCTTCCAAGTATACTCGTTGGATCGCATAGAAAGTAGTAATTTTAAACAAACAACACTGGACACACAGAGACAGAAACATTCGGATTAGATATCGGAAAAAAATTTGTCTTCTTTGATCAGATCCGCATCGACCTAAAAGCGACTTTCTCATTAATCTCCGCGCAATTTATCCGCGTTGCGATTGTCCGACATCGCGGATAAAATTAGTATCCGCGCCCCGCGGAGACTATCATTTTCTCAGACGATTTCCACCTGTCCGCGTGTGTCGCCATCGCGTACGAACGAACGAACGATACGTAACGATATCTGTGGCGAAACCTCATACTAAGTCTCGACGCGCGCAATAAATCATGTCCTACGGTTTCTGCGGGTATTCCGTCTTCTCTCCCTGCTTCTGCCGCGCGACGATCTTTCAGATTTAATTCGGTACTAGCATAATTAGTGGCGGTGGCAGGCGCGGCTCGCCTCTCGTCTCGCTCCGTTCGCAGCACCTGCCGTGCCGCTCCCGAATCTCTCTCTCCTTCCGAAGAGAGAAGAGAATCGCCCGTCTCTCTCTTTGCAAAAGACGCGATAATTTTCAGCTATATTTCTCCACCTCGTCCTACTCGTCTCTCCCTCTCTCTCTCTCTCTTTCTCTCTGTCTATTTCTTTCCCTCCCTCTTTTTCGGATTCCGCATCCCTTTCCGCTTTCTCTCGCGAATATTCTTCAAATAAATTGCTGCGCGCGGCCATTTCAAATGGACAGAAGAGAACCGACGACAAGCGGGCTTTCAGCGCCAATTACCCCAGTGTGATGTGTGTGTTTCTCCCTTCTTGAACGGCTCGATAAAAACGGCAGAAAAAAAAAAAAAAAAAAAGAAACGCAACGAACGAACATTTCGCGCGCTATTTCGGGGGGGGAGGGGGGGGGGAATGACTTCCGTCGACCAAATTGTTCGATTTAGAAGTTGTAAAAAATTATAATCTTCTAATATCTCATGCAAATATCCGCGATGTAGTTTTCTATTATTGTTTTCTACTTGCTAAATTTTTGTACGGGACACAAAAATTGTTCGCACCTTGCAACAGCTTGCCCACGGCGTCGTCCAGAGAGCTATTGTTGCCGTGTTCGTTGCTCGACGAGCTAGGTTTGCCCTCCATTGACGACAAGCCGTTGTTATTGTGATGAGCTTCCATTTTCTCACTTCCGTTGGAGGAAATTCTCTCGCGACACGCCCACGCACAAAAACAAACTCTCGTTTCTCACTGACGGGCAGCACGACGTGTTTCACCGTCGAAATCGCGTATACACAAATATATGTCCACCCTCCGTCAATAATCCACGAGATTCAAAAATCGCATCTCCGACGGAAAAAAAAAAATATGTCAAAGACGATATTCTTCAATTGATTAATTATCAAACGGCAAATCTTAGCGAGACGCTTTATCTCGTGAAATTTTGTCGCGAGAGAGAGAGAGATAAGCGCTTCTCGCGATATAAGAAATCTCGTTCTCTCTCCGACGTCGCGAAGAAGAGACTCTCGATAATTAATCGAGAGGTTATCGAGAGGCGCGATTTATCGGGTCAAGATAGGTCGCCGAATCTTCTTCTTTAACGATATACTCGGGTCTCGACCTTTAGCATAATCTCCCGATATATATCAATTCCTACGAACTCGTAGATCACTCGGAGATATTTCACATTCGTCGTTATCGACTCCGGGAAGCGCGTATATATTTAAATTGGAAATCGACGCGACGACGCGACGTGTCGGGGAAGACACAATTTATTCAGAAACTTGTTTTTTTTTTTTTTTTTAGAATAATTACAATTTTTTTTGTCTTATCGAGATCGACCCGTTCGGGGGAAGGGGAGAGAAAGTAACAAACGACGCACTTCGAGGTGAGACAAACCAGAGAAGAGAAGAAGCGATCAAAGTCATTTCTCGTTGAATCCGAGATCGTCGAAGCGCGCTATATAAATCTGGCAGTTTATTGTCTGGCACAAAATCCTCATGTCCTATTTGCGTGTGTGTTTTTCTCCTCTCCTCGAGGTTATTCCTGTATAGTCGCGAGCAGGACGGACAGATTGAAATTGTTTGCGATTTTCTCGTACGATTATTGCGTACATCGCGTCGTCATATCGATACATGCGAAGGTCACGGGAGACGCGGCGGTTGCTGGCGAATCAGGTAAACTCCGATGGCCGACTGATCAGCCGAGAGGAGAGACGCGACGATAGACCCGACAGATTCAGGGAGGCGAGGAAACGCCGTCCGCACGGCTCTCGCAGCCGCACAGGTTGGTCCATCGGGAGGAAGAAGATCGGTGACGAGACGAGGAAAGAGGACGAGAGACGGAGCGTGTTTGGCACACGCACCGAAACCGTCGGCGAAGATCGTCCGCGGAGGCGGTTCCGTGAACCACCTACCTCTGGTGGGGAGATAGACACGAGAGATCTTCCTCCTTTCTCTTCTTCATTCTCTCCCTCTTCTCTTGCTTCTCTCGCCGTTTTTTCTTTACTCGCATCGTCCTCGTCGTCGTCATCGTCGTCGACCTTCCGCGCATCCTGAGCGCACGGTCCTGCGCCTTTGCGAAATGAATTTTTCTCGACGAAAAGCCGCAAAACGCGCGCCGTGCGAGTTTTCAAGTTTTTGTTAAATCGCACGAAGTTAGAGACCTCTGTCCGGTCTCGGTCTCTTTTGTTTTATTTCGTTTAAATTTTGATCACAATACGCTCTTGTGAAACTTGGAAAAATAAACTTAATGTCAAAAGAGATTTTATTAGCGTGTGCGGAATTCACTCAGATCGCCACAAGATAACACGCATCCGGTTTACGATATACTCGCGGATTATTCACGACGAGGCGTCAACTAATTACCGTTCGTTTGTTGTCACGCGAGTCGCACGCGTGAGAGGTCGTTGCAAAAGTAAAATGCTGGTTTATCAATCACGTTCACAAACAAGTGATTAATGTTCGCGCGTACCCGCCTTATGCGACTGGAAATTTTGCGTAAAATCCGATAATAAAGTTTTTTAGATGAAATATAAAAAATTATATAAATTGCATACGCCGCAGATCGATGCTACACCGTCAAAAAATTTGCTGCAGAAGTTTTTGTTGCAACGTGTCAAAACGTTTTGTCGATGAAAAAACCAGAAAAATTCAGCAAATTTTTTTCTATAGTAGCAAAACTTTTTTATATTGACCGACAGAAAAAAAGATATGATTTACTGCCAACCTCGCGCGATCGGAATGCGAAAATTAAAAAAGCGCACGCGACAAAGTGAGACGGCGCGAGATTCGCAAGGGAGAGAGGCAAGTATTCCAGTCTCTCATATCCCGAACAGACGTTTTCTTCGACCGTTCCGGCAAGCCTAATTATACAACGAATTTAATGAATGAATGAGCTAGCAAATACAGTGGCTCATACATGAGCATATATAAACCACGGTCAATGCCGTGTAGCGGCTTTTGTGAAAAGATCAAAGAGGGGAGAGAAGAACATCTCGCTCTCGCGCACTTTGCGCACGAAGAGAGATTTTATACCTCGCGTACAAAACCGGTGCGGCGTAAATACGCACGCGATTATATTCCGCGCGATCTTGCAATCAGCAGAGTTCGTTCGGAACACACGCGCTCTTCATCATCGACAGCGGACTTAGTTTTGCTCAACGACCGAATAATCTCCCGCGATCTGCGTCGCGATAAAAAATCTGCACAATTTTTGTGCAAATGAAATTTTATACGTGTATAAAAGCGGAGCCTAGATTTTCAATGAAAAGAGTAGTTTTCAGGGAAACTGTGTGTCGTGCCGGAACCTGAAGTTAGCACATTTTTTAATTATCGGATTTTTAATATTAAAAAAATGCGGAACTTTTTTTATTTGTAGTAGAAACTGTAGAAAAAAGTGTTACTATAGAACTATATCATTATTTTTTGTATTAATATAAATAAAACGTCGTGCTAACTTCACGGACACCTGGCTCGGCGTGCACGCTCGCGCAGTATGCGACCAATCGCTTGATGCGACGCGCAAATTTAGCCCGACGGGAACAATAATATTGATTTCACGAAGCCGGAATTTTGCTCTCGCCGGAATAAACATCCCGGCACTCGCGCACGTGGCGTCAATATGTGTCTTTCTGTTCTTTCGGTGTAACGTAAGCGAGAATTCGTTTCAGGGCCATTCTTCCAGGCGCGGCACAGTCTCTCGACTACGTTTTCTCTCGAGGAAATGTTACACACGCGCTTTGCGCAACATTTTGTGTCTTTATTTCGAGAGACGAGAATGAGGAAAGATTTTAATGCATCCTCTCCGCGAATAAATATATTTAAAATCACTCATTCTGCGGATATTTAATCTCCGAGAAAGCGACCGCGGAAAACAAATGCAATGTAGGATATTTTTATAATTTTAAATGCACAATATTTTTTTATGTTCGCACTTCGTTCGAAAGTCGTCCGCAATTTCTTCGCAGAGTTTTCAAATTTCATGAGAACGTAAAAATTGAGTATTTCGCGAAGATGAGATGAAACCAATTATCTCTTGAATTTTCGAATTTAATTCTAATTCGAATGTGTGTTGATTTTTTCACGTGTAAAATATTTGCGCGTGCAAGTTGGTCCGCAAGTTTGCGTATAAACTTTGTTTTCGAAAAAATGGACCTCGCGCGCTGGAGATATTTCGAACAAAAACGTAACGTCGCGTAAAAGCGAAAGCGTTTTTTATTGCATATAATGCGAATCTTGGTCCTTTTCGTTGGTCCATTTGTGTGAAATTTAATCGATGCACGAGAGATAAGAACAAAATACATGTCTCTTAAGACACTCGACTAATATATTGCTCGCTTGGCGCGTGATTGAACCGTGTTTCTTGACAATTCCGGCAATTCCTGCGGGCCGCACGGCGTGCCGTCGGGCACTTGAAAGGATCCCGAGGGCGCGGGATGGAGGCGGCCAAAGGCCGGGTACCCGACACATGTAAGCCCCCCGGGTGGCGAGCATCGCGACTCGCGCTTGGACCCCCAACGGAGACACGAGCTTCGACACATTCTGCGCCGTCATCATCGCGTTTCCGCAACATCATTGTCATAGTACGTGAGGCCGATAGGTACACGTGCGCGTGTCTGTCGTGCCGCCTCGTCTAAATTTCTTGAAAAAAAAAAAAAAAAAAAAAACAAAGTAATCTCGCGAGAATGCGAGAACTCTGAATTTTTTTTCGTCCGTACACAATATGTGAGAAATGACAATAAAAAATTACGTGAAGATAATTGTATGCACAATAAATAATTACACATTATTGATATATATATATATATTTTTTAACGATCTTATTTAACTTGTTATTTAACTTGCGAACCGCATCGCGAAGAATACGCGGTGTGTATATACGCTTTTCTTATCTGTCGAATCTTCGTTATGCTTAATTTCCACATTGTGCAACTCTCTCGGTCGACGTGCGTTGCTTTCCAATTAATAATTCCCTGCTAAAGGACGCTTTTGCTTGCGAAATCGTTTAATTGCAGTTTCTTGCCGCCGACTTGATTAATGGACTGAAACCTCGTTCCAAAGACACATTCGTTTAAATCGTGCTCGCGCGTATACGCAACAGAGATAATTCTTGCTGTGTGTGAGTTAATATCGATCCGTAAAAGTAACAGAAAGAGGACTCGATTTTTTTCCTCTTATCCGAGAAAAATAGAGAATTCAAATTGTTTCTGATGATCGTAACTTTATTAGCGCGCGATTAATTAAACGGTTTGTTGCACGCGTGATGATTTCATCTTTAAAAATTTTGTATGTAAAATGATTTTTTAAGTAACTTACGAGATTGCCTTTCGAGATTTTCGCGTTTCCTCGTCGCGTAAACGCGCGTTGTTAACATCGGCGAGCGCGTCCGATGGTCGCGAGAATCGCTCGTTGAGTGCAACATATATCCCGTCGGATGCAACCGGTCTTGACGCGCGGCGCGCACTCTCCTCCTCGTGACGTCATAATTGCAGCGGACCGGCGGACCAATCGACGATGAGGTTGCCGGCGATGAGAAAGAGATGACGAAACAAGAACGACGGGAAACAGCGGAAAGAAGAGAGACCGGAGGGAGAGATAGGTAGGTGGAGCGAGCGCGGGAACCTGATTGGTTCACCTCCCGGTGGATATCGTAGCCATGGAAACTCTCTTGTCAGCGAAGAGACTGACGAGAGCACCGAAATATAAATGGAATGACCGGCGATCCGACGCAACCGTGAAGAAGAAGGGAGGCATCTTAAGAAAGAGATGGAAGAGGATGATCTCGAGAACGAGGGAGAGAGAGAGAGAGAGAGAGAGGATGAGAGATATCGTAATATTATCATCCTCCGATTGTCGGTCAGCTAACGATGTTTTCGTGCCCGAACAATGCAACGATAGTGCAGAAAGATGCAGAACATTGTTGCGGATAATCTTCGGTGTTGTGATACATTTGACATTGACACGTTAGAAGATAAAGTATCGAAGAGAGAGGTATCGAAAAGAGAGGTATCGAAGAGAGAGGTATCGAACGAAAAGAACCCGCGATGCGCTTTAAAGAGATGATCGGCCATTTAAATGCCGAATGCGAAAGAGCAATTCAATTCGCGTTCTGCGTAAACTGTGTGTACGTAAATGTGTAAATAAATATGTGTAAATAAATGTGTAACCAAGTTCTGTTCAAATTGAAAAAAATCTCAATTTGTTAATTATATAAAAATTAAAACTTGCGATGTATTTCTCTTCATTAAGCGACGTTAAAAAAAAATGAAGTTAATTTTTCTGTCGGTCGTCGCAAGAGAGTCGTTTGCTGACGTACTGACAATGTAAGTGTCAAAAATATGTAACAAAGAGGCAAGAAGAAATATACGGCGACCTCGTGGGTGCCGCCTTATTTGGCCGCGTTCCTCGTCGCGTGTGCGCCGCTATCCGACGAGCACGACGATTCCGAAGACACACGCGGAGAGACGCAGCCTCCTCTCTCTCTCTCCTCCACGTCTCCCCTGTGCCTCACATCTCTACCTACGGCTTCGTCTTCCCCCCGGACGCGGCTTCCATCATCCGTCGCGTCGCTCTCTCCCTCCCCGATGCACGCGACCAAGACTCAACGGAGCAACAAGTGTTACCAGGCACGCTGCCTTCGCCCCGCCCCCTAAACCCGAGACGGCCGAGAACGCGATGTCAGGCCTCGTGGTGGAAATTGCCCCGAGGCGATACAACCACCTCACTCGAGCGCCGATCGCGCGACCAGCACCCACGACGAAATCCTCGGTCGTCTGTCAAACGGAACTCGGCGCGAGTTCCGCGCAAACCGGATTACATTATTTCTTCGACGTGCGCGCGCGCGCGCGTGCGCAGCTTCTTCGGGATTATAAACCGATTGTCACAGCTCGGAAAATTGTCGCTCGGTGCCGACACGTAAAATTTTTTTTTTTGCGAAAGACTCCGCGCGGCAAAGGACAAGTGAAGTTTCACATGGTCCCTCAACTGGGGGACTTGGTGCGAGTTTTCGATCGGGAACCGTCGCCTCGCTTTTTGCCAGAACGTTTTTTTCACGAAAAACGGAAGAATTCTGTAAACCCTACTTGAGAACATATTTCCCCACAGTGATCTTCCCACGACGATCTCGCGACGTGACAACGTTTGAGTGAAACTGTTGTTGTAACTAAAACAAAAAAACTTTGTACATATATAAATAAAACAGATAAACAAAAAAATTGTTAATTAAGAGCTCGAGGCGCAGCGCCGCTGACTTGTGTCGTTGACGAGAAGTGCGAAAATGTAAAAACGGGAAGAGATAAAGAGAAACACCGCGGAAGAGATCGATCGACGAAAAAAATTGAATCGCTGCGATTGTTGCGATTTTGTGCGAATTTACGACGAGAGAGACGTTGGAAATCGAAGCGCGAGAACCTTCGAGCGCGGAGAACACAAAGAAAGTCCAAAGAGATAAGACGGAGGAGAGTTGAGCGACGAGTAAAAAAGCAAAGTAACGTATATAGAACCGAGCGCGAGAACTTTTATATATATGCGCGACGTAAAGCGCGAGATAATGACGAGCAAAATTAATTAAACGTGACAACACAATTGCAAACAGATCGGCAACGTCGGTCGTCGTTGAAACAAAAAAAAAAAAGAAAAGAAAAGAAAAATTCCTTCCATCGAGAAAGTGACGCGCGCTCGCCACAATGATAAAGCGATAAGCGGCGATAGCGCGGCAATGACTAATTGATCGACGATTTTCTGTTCTTCCGAGACGAGAGATGAGCGACGTGGATTCCGCTTCGTGCGGCGCGCGATAAATCGACGATCGATTTTTTCCGAACTCTTTGCGGCTTACGCGGTCGTGCGACGAAAAGGGATGAAGATGAACGACGTCAAGCCAGAGAGCTCTAGCGCGTCGATCTCGCCGACATTGGGCGGAAACAACAACGGTAACAACAATAACAACAGCATCAACAACGACAACGGTAAGGTATCGGCCGCGGCCGCAGCGGTGACCGCCAATGGCGGCGAGGGAATCAGCGCCGCCGTCGCCAAAGTTCTTCAGGGATACGACTGGACTCTGGTACCTGTCGCTACCAAGTAAGCAACACGTGGTGGACTTGAGTTTTTTTTTAAATTTCTTTCTTTCTCTCTCTCTCTCTCTCTCTTAAAAAAATTCGAGTTTTTTCTCAACGATCAAATCAATAAACTTGAGCGAGGGAAATTGTCACGCATAAAAAACACAACGCAGGAGTTTGAATTTCGACGAAAAGAAGCGATTGAATCATCTAAAAAATTATCTTATTTTGCGTCTTTAATAGATCTTTTTACTTTCTGTATTTTGTTTAAAAAAGTAATACCGTTCTCAAGGCACGTCAGTTTTGTCAAATTTTTTTTTTTTTTTTTTTTTTTTCACTCCTCGACAGCTGTTTCTTTTGATGTTTTCGCACAGCGATTTAATCACCGCGAGTCGTATATTAGCGACGCGTTAACACACATACACATGTGGCTGCTGTTAAGTCTCGCGGGTTTAACTCGCGCGACGGTATACGCGGCTCAGAAAAAAAAAAAAAAGAAAAAAAATGTAGAAAAGAAAGAGAAGAAACGAAGAAGAAACGACGCAACGAAGTCGTCGGCTGAGGCGAGAAGAAGAGGGCGAGGAAGCGCAAGTGTGTCTGTGTGTGTGTGTGTGGCGCGCGGTCTTAAAAATACATAACGCTAACTCAATTATGACGCACTCGTTTCCCTGGCCTGGGAAACGCGTGTGTCTCGCGGAAAAATGTCCTCGGCCGCCAATTAACGCAAATTGCCTAATTAATGCCCGATCGCCGCGACCCGCGCTCACAAGCAACCCGGCTCGTCAATCGTGGGAAGCAAAGCTCAGGCTCTTAAAATAAAACGCCGATAACGCAATGGGGAAAAAAATTAACTAGACGCGCGATTGCGCTTTCGCGACGTTCGTCGGAGAAAAGTCATCAATGGAGTCATCCTTGATGCGTCACACGCGCGCGTCGGGAAAAATTTATTAGATCGCGACGGACTCGATAAAATCGTAAATTCGATACGCGACCTCGATTCGCGGAAAACTCGTGCGCGCCGCCGATCGACTCCGCCGTAATTGATCGACCGTCGATGTTGTATAACCGTCAGAATTTCTTTTCATACTTTTTTTTTTTTTTAGAAAAAGAATTTACAAGATAATTCGCTTTGTAAATGAACTCTCTGATTTGAAGCGACCATAATGTAAAATCTTTGAATCTCTTCCGGAGTCTCGAAACGACGCGACGAAACGATCGAGAAAGAGATCGGTCTCTTGTGCGTAATCATTTCGTACGAAAAAAAATTTTCGAAAGATTGTATTGAAGCGCGCTCTCGAGACGGGAATATCACGATATATCGCTTATCGCTAACCCTCAATTATACGAGGTTATCGCGAGGTAGCTGCAGGGTGTGCAATGTTTAAACCCGGTCTGATAGGGAGCTCGATATAAAATCGACCGCGGATCTTCCCATGAGATTCCGTGAGAGAGTAAAACACACGCATATATACGTCTGGTAAAAGCTGCGCAATTCGCGCTTTTTTTTTGCGCAACCATCGCGAGAAAATGAATTTATTTAAATGAGAGAAAAACAAAGCGAACTGATAATTAAGTTGCACAAGTAAATATACGCGTTATTAAATTTTCTTGTGTGCCTTTTGACTTATTCCTGCGTGACAAATCGATCAACGATCGATCATTGAGAGAACGAGCGATTATTATTTTTCCGTCGCACCGATAGCGCTCGCTCATTCGAGCCATTTTACACGTCGCCATTTTACGCCTTGTGTCGCGAACACAAAGTCGCGCAAAGTTTTTTTTTTTTTTTTTTTGCATGCATCCAGGTAAAACGCGCGCGCGCGCGTTACGCCGCGACTCGCGTCGAGGAGCGCCGTGAAAACCCTCGTTAGTGAGCCCACGCTAATTACCAACGGCTCCGCGCGGGTTTACACACGGATTTAACGCCCCTCTCATTTCAAAGAGGCCGAAATACGCGCGGGAGGGACCCGCTTTCTCGAATCCCTCCCCGAGAAACGCGCGCGCCCGGGAGAGGTCCTTTTCACCCGCGTTACGCGTATCGGACACGCTCATATCCTCCCCATGATGAGAATCGAACTCGCTCGTAGATCCGATTACACATGTTACACACACACGGGACACGAGAACTACAGCTGTAAAACAACCCGAAGCCGCTAAAACTCGACTATGTTATAGCCGGAATTTTCCAGAATAATTTTTCTTTATCTTTCCGCGTGATATAATCGCCGACGCGCAATATATTGTCTCGCACATTCCGACGCTTCTCGATTTTTAAGTACTTCGAGATTTTTGATTCTCATTTGTCCGACGATATATTTTTGATAAAAAAAGAATAAAAAAAACGATCTCCGTGTGCCGTATGGCTGGAGGGACGTTCCTGGCTCGAGGGACCGCCGCGCGCGCTTACTCCTTGAAGAATCCTCGATTAAGGGCAAAAAGAAAAACAGGGCCAAAGCCAGGATATTATCTTCTCCGACGCGATAATCACGTCAGTCACGTCGATTCTACGGCTCCGGACGGGCGAAAAGTTTTATGAAGTCATCTTCTCGGAAAGAAAGGGATACGTCCATTCCTACCCGTCACACGTCGGCAGCCACGGTGTTATTTTAAGGCCGGTTTCAAACGCTCTCTCCGCGCGCGCTTCTCTCGCCAGGATGACCCGCCAGGGTAGCCCGCGTGGCAAAACCCGATACGGGATACATGCACGTGTGTATATGTATGTATATATATATATATACGTAGCCGTCGCCTCTGGTTATTTTCTTCTGCAAGTCACTAGATTATCCCGCCAGAATAGTCGACGGGATAAAGAGAGAGAGAGAAGAGAAAAGAGAGAATCCTTCTCTTCCGCTCTGCCACAAATTTCGCTTTTAATTTTACCGAAAAGCTTGTCATTGCACATAGACGTCATTCTCTTCTCAAATTTTCAAACAGTAGTACACTTTTTTTTGTAAAAACTCAATAAGTAAATGTTTTACTTCGGCAAAGCTGAAGTATTAAAGAAAATGATTTGAAATGTTTTCTTTGCGCAAATCTGTGGTGATGAGGTGCTGTTTCCAATGAGGATAAATGTCTTCGAATTGCAGGGGCTCCGGTGACAAAAGAGCGGCCCACGTCAAGAGACCTATGAACGCGTTCATGGTGTGGGCTCAGGCTGCGAGGCGAAAACTGGCCGATCAGTATCCGCAGCTTCACAACGCCGAGCTGTCGAAAACACTGGGAAAATTGTGGCGGTGAGTGCGCGGGTTGAGCTTTTGTGAAACAATATTTTTTAACCCCACCAGAGTCGCACACGAACAGATATAAATTTATATAATTGCGTATTTATGTAAAAAAAAAAAAAAAAAACAGATCATATTTAGATCTGAGTTTTTTTTCGGTCGCTGTGGAATCCGCGCACTCGGTGGGAATAAAACGCGCAAGTGCCGACAAATAACATCCAGCGGTTTGCCGTCCGTTCCTCTCTTAGCGGAAAGACACTGTGTTTCGATAAAATTAATCGACACCACGTGTCTTCAATCGGATGCCCTCTGCGTTCTCCCCGATCTGATAAGCTCGATTCTCTCACAGATGCGAGCGCTCGGTGTGCCAGCAGGCGGTGGCCAGCCATGCGAGGGAATCGCGCTCGCTGATCTTCGCCGGGAGCTTCGTTCGAAGAAAATCGGAATATCGCGAGTTGCAATTCTCGCGAAATCTGTTGTTAATGATCACGTCTCAGCTGTCGCGTTGATTCGACGGCGTCGCTTTTATTTTAGCGACTATCGGCCTCAAGTTCACTCCTGAATTTCGCAAATAGAAACAATCCATCAACGTTCTTGCGATTGTTTGTTTGTTTTTTTTTTTTTTTATATCATCAGAATGCGTTTATTCCGTGATATTTTTTGCAACACACACGTGACCTTAGAAACCGCTCGAAACTGATGCGACGCTTCGCGTTACGATTTCCGCGACCACTTGTACTCGTACATGTAATCCGTTCTATTTTTAACCGAAAACGAATTCGCGAATACTTGGAGATTTTTTTTTTTTTTTCCACTTCTCGAGGCAACGTCACGTATATCGAGCACACACTCGTGCACCACGTGGCGCCTAGGCTCTGCACGTGGTACAAGTGTTCCTGCTTCTCCTCGAGACCCCGTCAACTCGGGGGTCGCACATGTAACAGAGCGGAGAAACACATACTTGGCGTGACGTCCTCGGCGCGGTCCTCTTTTACAACCAAGATATACGATCCCTCTTAACGCTCGTGTGTGTGTGTGTGTGTGTGTGGCGATGTTAAAATTTATATACACACTCACTCAAAATCTTTCATTCTTCAAAGCAAATTAGAAACGTTTTGTTTTCCTTATCGTCGCGTGGAAAAAATTGAGAGAGGAATTCGAAAGACGGAGATGAGACGCGCTTAAAAAAAATATTGCATTGTTAAATCATAAATATTAAAAAAAAAAAAAATACGTCGTGTATTTATCGAGAGATAAATTACCGATCCTCGCGCGCACTTGCGAAACTGACGTCTCGAAAAGTCACGACGACGCGCGGGAGGAGTGAAAGTTCGCGATTTTCACCACACCCCTTGACCAACGCGCGGACCTACCTCCGCGCGTACATATAAACTCGTGGACGCGATTTTATTTCCTGGTTCGGACTAACGAGATGCCCCAGTGGGCCATATATATAAACGATCGTCAGAAGACGCGCCGACAAGGACCCCCGTTGCGAATCATTTAATAATACCGGCCGCGATCGCGATCGCTCGCCAAAGATCGACGATCGATATGATCCCACGGACGATTGTCACGGCGGATTGTTTCGCCGTGAAAGATAAAACGGTGCGCATCCGAACGCGAACGAAGAGATCGAATTGATTCTTTCCTAACACCGTTTTCTCTCTCTCTCTCTCTTTCTTTCTCTCCCAAGAGGAGTCATTAGTGACCCATCGGTCTACAATGCGCGTTTAACAGACTTTAAACAACTTTCGTCGCGACTCTCCGATTCGAGTCTCTACGTGTGTTTGTGTGGAAGATAAAAAAAAAAAAAAAAAAAAAAAAAAAAAAAATATTCATCTCCGATAAGAAATCAGAAAAATTTTTTCGAGCGAGTCGAGCGAGGAACGCCCGAATCGTCCTTGTGATTCGTATGGTTGTTGGCCTTTGTAACTCTTAAAACCTAATTATTTAACACCTTTCGGTATGGACCTAGTAATCAATTAGCACTTGAGTTTCGAGCATGAGAGATATTTCTCGTGGGCCACCGCCAAGGCTACTTGTAATACGTGCGAATGAAGTGATCAAATGGTTTTCGAGCTCATCTTTTTCTCTCTCTCTCTCTCTCTCTCTCTCTCGTTGTACGTGCGAGACATCGAATTTACGCGATTGTCCGATGATTGAGAGACATCGCCGCGCCGCTTTGACATTCTGGCTGAGATCCGCCTTCGCGCAACAACAAATGATATACAAAACGATACAGTCATCTTGGATAATGAACACAATGTTGCGCTACATGAGGTGGGGTTACTTGTCGATTAAACGCGATAAAACGCGAAGTTCGCGAGACCGCGAAGATTGATCGATTGCGCGCGATGTTGAAGAAACCGGAGGAAATATCGTTACAATTACGTTTCTGTGTTTGCGCGATGTGTTAGACGCGCACGCACAAATTGCAATATAGAAACGAGAGGATTCGTAAGACGAAAACAAGCGGGGCTGCCTCCCCGTTTTTTCAAACAAAGTTTGATCGCGCCCGAGTCGATCCCTCCATCGAATTCTCGTGCACTTCGACGCCGATTTGTCTCACACCAATTCCGATAAGAAAGCCAGGTGCCAGGTGACTGGAAATAAATCTTTCTCTCGCGTTCTCGCTCGCTCTCTCTCTCTCTCTCTCTTTCTTTCTTGTAACGCCGTCTCGGAGAAACGTATCGCCATTTGGATACTCCAAACGCAATGTGTTTGTCGACAAAAGGAAAACAGATATCCCCCTTGGTTCATCCTTGGCGCGTGCTCGCAGCTGCCGGCCGGTTCCTGTCGTAGATAAAAGGGGGGCCCCCGGGGACCACAATAGGCGCCTTGTGTCCGTCAGGTGAATTTTTCCGGACCTGCCCTTTCGCTCCCCGAGCCCTGCAAATAGCTCGTGACGCGGAACAGGTAAATCTCTGGTCTTATCTCCCGGAAGGAACGAAATCTCTCCTCTCTCCTCCGCCGTTCTTTCCCTCCTCGACCGTTTCTCTTCTATCAGAACTCCGCGTTATCAACTCCGGAGTGTCAATTACCAGTTTTCGAATCGTCAGTTGGTTGTTTTTCTTTAATTCTTCCGTTCTTTGTGATTTTTGAAGTAATTTTTATGGTGTTTCTTTTTTTTCTCATCCCCGGGATCTCGTTTTGCTTTTGACGTTCGATTTGTCGAATCTCGAGATACCGGCAAGAGGATCTTAAATAATTGACCCGATCCTGTATTGCGTCTGGCGAAGAGGAAAAAGAGAGAGGGCTGCGACTGTGCTCCGCTATCGTCGACACCCGCTGGCGAAAAAAAGCTGCTGGCAAAAGTCCATTGACCAGATGGATTTTCTCTTTCTGTCCCTCCTCTTCCGCTTCGTCGCACAGTTTCGTCCGTTCTCTTTTTCTTTCTGGTCGGTGATAAAGCCGACCGAGTTCAGCTTGGGATACGCGTCTTGTCGACATTTGTCGACTCGCTGTCGAGAGCTTAAAGTTGTCGTGGGATTTAAATCCCGAGCTTGTGCGAACGCACTTTGGATGACGTGTCAGGTTCGAATAAAAAAAACTAAATTTGTTTCGCGAAATGTGAACACAAATTCGAGAAATGCGAATCGACGCTCGCGAAGAGAGACGACGGTAATTGAAATAATCGTCGCTCGGAAGAGCGCGACGGTATAAGATCTCTTCTTGCACGTTCTCCACATTACACCGGAAAACCTTATCGACCGCGAAGTTTACGAGCTCAGTGGGAATATAAACACAGAGCATTAAGGACCCATGACCGGGCACCATGAGCGTATCGAGCCACCGCGCTGAGTCGGCACGTCGACGTTGGCACCGCGCGCCCTCGAGCGCACGAACACGTTCGAGAAACATTAACCAGATCCCCTATTTCAACTCTTCGAGAGCACATCGTGACGCTCGTTTCGAAGCGCTCTTTTGATGGGGCCAACGAGAAAGAAAGAGAGAGAGAGAGAGAAACGTCGCGAGCTCGGCGCGAGAATGTGAATCACGTCGTACCGACGACAGATTTCGTGGCTGAGAGTTTAAAAATCTCGCTCTCTGCTCTGTATTCGAAAATTTATATCACGTCACTCAAAAACGTTCTCTTGCGCGAGAAGACGAACCGACGGAGTTTGGAATATCGTTTCGGGTTTATAAGGCGCGATAAGAAATATATATATATACATTTTTTTTTAATTATCGTTTTTATGCACGTTTCTCGATCGTAGACTTCTGTCCGATAACGACAAGAAGCCCTTCATCGAGGAGGCCGATCGTCTGCGCGTCATTCACAAACGCGAACATCCCGACTACAAGTACCAACCAAGACGTCGGAAACAGAACGGACCGTCTTCCGGTCGCGAGAACTCGCCCTCGCGGAATCAGAGCAACGTGACGTTCAGCGTTTCCAGATCCTTGAAGCAGGAGGACATGAGCCCACGGGGTGTTCAAGGACCCAATTCGCCGCAGAGTGGCGTGAGCTCGTCGCCACCCACGACGCCTAGTCAGGGTCTGTCTCCGCCGACGCCCCCCACGACGCCCAGAGGACAACATTACGTTAATCAGGTACTTAATTTACGCCCACGTGTGATTGTTCATCGAATTTTGCGTTTTTGCGATGCGTGAAATGTGTTCGTTGAAGTTGTATAAAAAAAATTTGCGATCGCGCGAAATTGACGCGAAACACAAATTTGTACGATAAAACGCTTGGCCGGCACACAGACCAACCAGCTCCCGCCGAACAACAGCGTGTACTATCAGGAGTTGGTCAGCGGCTCGAGCGAGTCTCCGCACCAGCAGCCGCCGGTCGATCTCCGATACGTCGAGGTCGGAGACGGCCTCGCCAGCGAGGAGAACCAGTTGAACGGTCTCGGTACTTTGGGCGGTCTGAACATCCCGCTGAATTTTCAAGAGTGCGAGGTCGAGAGCAACGAGCTCGACCAATACCTTCCACCCCAGAACGCGCCGCTACATCAGTATCCACCCGTGCAAGTCACCACTGCCTCGCAGTGGTTGCTCAACAGGTAAGGAATCGCAATATCAAACGAGAGAATGCAATTCCCTGAGACTCTCTTCTTCTTTAAAATTGTCAAAAAATCAGAGAAAAAAAATCCGAAGTTGGAAAATTGTTAGTTTTTCCAAATGTTTTATCAAACACGAATTGCGGACTGTTGTCTCCGTCGTTGTTTTAATCGACAGACGAAGTAAACTAATATAAATCGACCGGAAATTAAATTTTGTAAGTTGCCTTCACGCCGGGGTGGGGGGTGCATTTTGTTTTCGTCACAGATACGAGGACGAGCTCGAGAGGCCGATCAAACGCCACTGTTCGGAGCAAACGATCGGAGCGGAGGTGTCCTCGTGGGAGGACAGGACGCAGGAAATGGTCAGATACCACGAGCTGCAGCCTCCCCTTCCCCCGGTCCAGTACATATCCACTCACAACGCCCATCACTCGCACGCAGCCACGCAGATGGGCCATCCGCACGTGTCCACGCCGTACGCGCAATACGCGCATCGCTACGTACCCGGTATCGAGACGTGGCCGAATTACATGTAAAAAAAAACCAAAGCGAGATAAAACGATCGAAACGTTTTCAATTCTGAAAAGCGCGGAGCGTTCGTTCGCGAAAATTCGATTCGCGTGTGTAAACTCGCGTCTCTCCGCGAGTTGTCGCGCAAGATAAGAACATTCTCCGTTTTACGTCAATCCGATCGAGACGAAGAAAACAAATTTGTGATTTCCGGAGTAATTTCTCTCCGCAACGCGTTGAACTTCAGCGGCGTTTTTTGGGCGCGTAGTAGCTCCAAAAAAAAAAAATAGCCAAATACGACGTAATTAATTAAAAAAATAAACCTTACCAATAAGTGACGTGTGATAAAGTTTTGTAACAAAAAACTAGAGTAAGATACGTTTAAGACATCTTCGGCCGAGTTCGCAGAATGTCGTTTCTCTTAGTCGGGAAGATTGAAAGTGACATTCTCTCCCTGATATTCTTTCAATATACAAACTTTTGCAGAATGTAAATAACATTCTGCGTGTAACTTCGAACACGTTCTATCGACAACGTCGCGGCCCGAAGTCGGCAAACCTTATCGCTCGAGTTTCGCATAAATTTCGAGTGCGATTATCAGCGAACATCAGTAATCCCGCCTTGAACTTTAATAACCGGTAAAACATGCTGCAATGCGAATAGAAATTTCGTTTGCATCAGAAATCGCGCGAAAAATTGCGTGACACAATATCTAATACAATTATATTACAAATAATTAAGTGAATAAACAAAAATGTATAAATTTAGGAGAGCATTAAATTTTTTTTCTCGTCAGACGTAAAATGAAAGTGAAGTTGCCGTAACGCACACAACGCTTTTGCGAGATATATGTTAATAAACAATTTCTTTACTTCGCATAATTTATTAGCGTAATTATTAACACGCGATATATGACTTAACAATAATAATATTTGCATTGCGTGCGTTACTTTTTTACTGGACGAAGAAGCGCGAGACGGAGATTGGCTTATTCTTTTGACTTGAGAGACTACCAACGTGGACGAGGCGCGGCCACGATACACTCACCATGACATCATTCCATGACAGCCGGCCATTCCAAAGCGCAGAATTTCAGGCCAAACAAACAGGCCGCTCGATATATATATATATATATATGTATATATGTATATACGTATATATATATATATATATGTATATACGGTGCCCAACAGCGCGCTTTTCGAATGTAATAATATATATATATGTACGCGCGAGGAACGCTATAAACCGTGACGTTCGCGTACGTCTCGTTCAAATAAACGGCTGAAACACGATCGACGATAATAACAAACGTATATACACGCGTTCCGTCTAAAGTATTTCAGGATTCGTCCGAAATTCACGGACGAATCGCGCGCGGTTAAATTTATCGAAACAATGAGATAAAAGATTCTTTCGAATAAAAATAATTAAAAAAAGTAGACATTTAAAAATAATTTCTGATATTTGTTCAATTTTTAATCGCGAGTGTTGGCGCCCGAGATTACCGAGATGTATCGATAGACCTGATTGGCCTGATGTCGAGCGCGCAGCTAATGTAGATGATCTTAGCACATATTAGAACATATGTAGATTATACGTATGTTATATATATATATATATATATATATAGAGAGAGAGAGAGAGAGAGATTATATTAACACTTATATGTACACTAGTTATGACAGCCGCGCGTGCACGCGCGTGCGCGCTTTTGTACTTAGATATTTATTCAACGCATTACACAAAGATCGATAGAAAAACAAAAGACGTAGATATTACCTGGCGTAGTTTGAACGTCGAAAGACGAGCGTTAAATCATAATTTATATAAGTGCGATGTGTACGCTGATCTGTAGAAAATAAAAAACAACATAAGAGACACTAAGAAAGACTCGAATTTTCATCTCACTCGATCCTTGCTCTCCTCATTTTCCGACGAAAATTGTATTTAATTTATTTCTTGTGCGCAAAACTTGTGCATTATTGAATTTTGACCAATTTGAAAATTTTATGAAAAATTCGCGCGAAAACAAACGACGTCCAAGTGATTTTTTTTTTTTTTTTTTTTAAACACTCAGGATGGCGAGGAACCGGCGACAATGTGATTCGGCAAGGAGGTCGACAAGAGAAAGGCGAATCTTATCTCGCCCTCTTGAATGATATTTGCAACAGTTTCACACACATACACACACACACACACACAGTATAGCGAAATAGTACGCTAGGAGACTAGGTCACACGCGGGTAACAAACGCGCCTCAAATATTTGCCTAGCCCTTTACTTCCCTTTTTTAATGGCCCGAAAACTGCGAGAATGGACTTCTCTCTGGGTCGGCGTCGAGCAAACAGGGGGCTTATCGAAATCTAACTACGACAAGAGACGTGGGAATGTCGCGAGTTTTATGTCACTTATCCGCGTATCCTACGAGATTAAAAGCAGAGGAAGCGCGCACGTGTACACTTTCGACGTGTGAACGCGACGGTACGTCACTCTGTTCAAATTTTTGCGGTCACGTTTCTTTCACAGAGTTTGATAACATTATTTAAGTAAATTGCAAAATGTAATCGCACGTTCTAATTTATATTACTTTTTTTTTATTTAAAACACGTTGTCGTTTCTCGCGTCTGTATTTAAACGCAACTAAATAAGATGAAGATCTCGTTAAGAAAAAATCGCGACAATCGTTCACGATACACTTTGAATTAGATCAAGTCTCTACAAATTTTTTTTTTTTCTGAAGACCGACTTGACGAGAGTCAGCCCTTCCGTCTGATTTTTTTTTTTTTTTTTTTTTCACATAGTTGTCAGTCAGCGAGATCTCGATAAAAAGATTCACTGACGAAAACAAGTGACGGAAATCGTGCCTGGACCCTCTTGACCTCTTGACACAACTTGGGACGACTTTGTGAAAAAGGATAAAGAGAGAGAGAGAGAGAGAGAACGGAAAACAATCGTGACGCAAACGCGACAGTGCCGGTCATTGAAGCGCGAGTGTCGAGAAGAACCCGATCATTTAATCTTTATCTATTTTAATTTCGTCACATGTAAATGTATTCGATTTACTGGAAAGCGGCTGTGCCTCAACATCAAACGACTTCCGGATATCGGTTCTCGGAACTTGAGAAATTCTCGCTCTTATCTCGATCGTGCAACTTTATCTTTCTCTCTTTTTTTTCTCTTATTTTTCTCCTTTCATGTTATTTTTTTAATGTAATAAAAAAAAAAAAAAAACAACACAGCTCAACAAGTCATAGGTTTGCAATAAAAAAATTGTGCTAATAAAGAAAAAAGGGTTAACAGTTTTTTGACGTACGTCATAAAAAGAGTGTTTTTCCCTTCTGTGCGGGATCCCGCTTTGACAGTGCGTTGACACTTCGTGTTCGATAAACAAATGTTTGAGCAGGCACGACAGACGAATCGATAAAATTTTCGACAGTTCGGGCATTCAGCGGCACGCAGAATAAAGAGTTGTATACCTTTACAGCTGTTCAGATTGCGCCGCGCGTTATCGGAAATCGCTCGTGTATATTATCCTTATTATCCATTCATCGAGATCTCGGCACGCGTGGGCCATTGTGACACCGACACCGAAATTTCGGGGCGACCGAGTATATTTTCGTCGAAATTTCTGCGAAATTATAAAAAAATGTGTGTGTTACGCAAGGATTCGATTTTAATTATTATTATTCATACGAATATTCAATCGCCGTCGTGTTTGCGCGATTTACGCGACTTCAATTAAAATTCCGATGTTTTGAAAAAAAAAAATAGATTTACACAATGACGAAGAGACTTAGGACTTAGGTTTCGATGACGAATATATGTTTGTGTATATATATATATATACATATATATGCGCACATAAAAGATAAGAAAGAATATATATATCGAGGAGCTTATCGGCTGACAAGCGAAGATAGCTCCAATTAGCGCGGCAATTAGGCCGTTTTAAGAATCCACCACGTCGCGCGCGCAGATAAGTCTGTTTATTTCGTTCTCTACTTTTTTTTTTTTTTTNTTTTTTTTTTTTTTTTGCATATTCACGCTCAAAGTTATCAATTATAAATTCGCTGCAAACGAAAAAAAAAAAAATAAAAAAAATCGCGCGCTTTCTTCCGGTTTCGCTGAGATTCCGGCACGTCTCTCTCTCTTCCTTTGTCTCTCGTTGTTTCTTCAGAGGAAGAGTCAAATCTAATCGACGATCGTTCTCTCGGTACACACACCGAGCGGATCCGCCACGTGTGAAACTAGACGGGATCGCATACCCATAGAGAGAAAGAAAGAGAGAGAGAGAGCGCGAAGGGCTTTCGCTCAATAGCAAGTCAAATACGAGTAGCGCTTTATCGCCTTACGTTACCATGGTAATTACCGCGGTATCGATATCGATAAACCGCGCACCTAGGTACATAACGGAGGTGACATGCCGATACATAAGTTTATCAAATAAGGACCAAAGGGACTGTGGCGCGTCCGAGAATTTTAAACCGCGCTGCATGGGGGAGAGACTTTCCCGCGCGCGCACGGACCATCTATAAGTCAATTTCAACCGACGTGATACTTCTTTTCGATGCAGACTATTTTTTATCTCCTCACGCGTCAGTTTGATTTGCAAAGCGACTAGATTGAAAAATCGAATTAATAAAATAAAAGACGAATTAATTAAATTCTACTAATTAAATAGAAGACGAGGATAATTTGTGAGGTAGTTGGTAATTAAGTACTTAGTAGCGAGAGATAGATTTAAGTTTTGTGATGAGAAATTGTAACCTCCTCCTACGAGGAATTAATAAAAAAATTTTGTCTAATCTAATCTACTGTTTAATTAAGACTTAATAAAGCCTCTAACAATCTTTTGTGTTATATTAAATACTAGTGATACTTCGTTCGATTATTCTCTCTCTGGTTTTGCGTATTTACTCCTCGCATCGTCATATCGCGCGTAAGGACGCGTATGTGCGTATTTTAACCGCCATCGCTCGCGTTCCCGTTTCGACGAAATTGAAATATTCTTCTTCGTCCCTTGGCAGCCGATATCGTTCCCCTTTACCCGCGCACCTCCCGTCCGCACGCGGCACATCTTAATTGCCAGCGGAGAGATAATTGGCATTTGGCAGCGAGTGATCCGCGATTACGATGGCGGCGGTAGTCTCTTCTTCTCGGAAAGAAGTTCTCGTTTCTGTTTGTACGTTTTATAGGTCTTGAATTTAACTGCAAGCGGCGGCGGCGGCGTCGCCGGTCGTCTTCTTCACCCAACGCCGATGGTAGATACGAAGAGACGCCGTCTGAAAGACGAAGAAGAAGGAGGAAGAGGAGGAGGAGGAGGAGGAGGAACGGCGTCCCTCCTTCTCGGTCTCACCCGTTCGCTTCTTTTTTTTTTTTTTTTTTTCCACCATTTTTCTGCACGCGGACGGTTTTCTCTCTACGGCACTTACTGACGTCGATGATGCATTAACGTAATTGCGTCTTGCGTGTGTGCCGCACGCGAGAAGATAAGAATTCCGCCGAAAGCCCGCCCTTACGATCGCGGTTCGCTTGAAAATTCACGCCCTTCAGCAAGCAATTCGTAAAACTGAAGATACATCGTTTTCTCACAATTGGATCCAATCTACCCCGCACAAGATTGCATTGTTATTTAATTTTTTTATTTAACTTCGCGTGAAATAATTTAGATTTGTTTCAAAAAGTTTCTACGCGGAAAATTTTGCTATTCTACGGCCAGCAAGAAAAATTGGCCGAGTCTACTGAATTTCTGAGTTTGTCAACAAAACGTTTTGTTGGCGAAACAAAAAAGTCAATGGTTTTTTCCGTACGCCAATATCGGAATTTTTAACGAAAGTTGCGCTTCTGATCCGAAAGTTGCTCGTAACGGGTAAGAAAAATGATTAACGACCGCGACGTCACCCAAGGTGTGGAGGATAAGAGGAAGAGAAGTGAGAGGAGAGAGAGAGAGAGAGAGAGAGAGAGAGCCGAGGCCTTCTGCACTGTCTCAAGTACTCTCCTCGTGAGTGACTCTCGACTGGTATGGCTGACAAAGAGCGAGTATCTTGCAGTATCGAGGTACTAGAGCCATCGTGTGTGCACGAACGTATCGCGAGTACCGGCGGCTTAGCAAAGTTCGTATAAATATATTCGCGTTATCGCCGTACGTTTTTTTTTAATATCTCGAACAAACTCGCCGAGAAAAAATCGACTCATCGATCGATGTGATCGGATATGACGTTAAACAAAGTCAAAAATTTAAATGAAAAATTAAACAAACACAGACGATATTTTTGTATTGCGTATGACGATGTAAAAATATTGTGCAACATATCGGTAATTAATTATATCGATTATCGATTAAAATAATTAATTTTTTTCAAACTGAAAAGAAGTAGAAACGTCGTCAATAATTTCGCGGCTGTATTTGTCAGAATTTTTAACTCTCTGTTGTTAACGAACAACTTCGACGAATCGTTAGGAGCCTTTACGCGCAGCAGGTACGTCTCACTTCGGGTCCGGGTTTTGTGAGAAGTGTGTTTGAAATTCGATACCGACACGTGGCACGCCGCCGATTCGTCTCGAGTCCTTGTAATCGGGTCCCATGAATTTATATTATATCCGTTCGGTCGCGTATCTTTGTAAATCACGCGTGTATTGACGCGTGTGTAAACAAATCTCGAACCGAGAGAAAAGCCGTTCGTTTTTCCACGCTGGTAAAACAATGTGGAATGCGACGTTTATAAATAAAATCGCGCCACATCGAAGACTTTTTACTTTCGATGTCCTACAAGAGGACGTAATCTGTCGTTTGTCCTCGTGGCGTTTCTTTTTCAAATCGCGTGGATAAAAACGCGAACACTCGATTTTCTCGCCAACGTTGCGTTCGAGCGAGAAAAGAGAGCTTTTATCGGATGTTGCGATGAAAAATTGCCCTGATAACGTACCGACACAATAAACCGGCTCCCGCTCCTACCCCCTCCCTCCCTCCACTCGAATCGCTCAGTGCCGACTGAGACTAATTGCGGCTCCGATTACAATGTGTCCTCGGCTATTATTATAATTTATAACTCTGTATTGTTGTTGTGTGTTGCGGTTATCGGCAACGTTTGACGCGCATGCCTCTCCGTCGAAGCCAACGAACGAAACCTGGTTCCAAGAATTGAAAAACTCTCGATCGATCTCGATCGATCGATCGATCATTTGTGAAAGTTGTTTATTGAAATTTATCGGCGGAAAACCGCGTTATATATATTGGTTTCAAAAACAATCGTTATCTCTAAAACAATTGTGTCAGAGCCACGCCAGATTTACGAGCGTCAAAGCGCGATTCCACACCGTCTTAAATTTCTAAATAACTTTGAATAGCTCGCGCGTTGCAATCGCTAATCTGTTTTTTTTTTTTTAACATTAAGCAAACAAATAGAATTTGCGTATATATCTGTGTGTACGTAGATACAAATAAGAAGCAAAATAAATTACATCTTACATTACAGCAACGATAAAAATTGTCGGTCACTGACCCTCTCCCGGAGTGGGCCACACGAAGTGTTACTTCACCGAACAGAATCTTTAACGAGAATTGAGAAATAAATTGAAAAAAAAAAAAAATCAAATTTATACGAGCTTTCCGACCTGATTGCATGACAAATCGGCGCAATCACGCCGAGACGATTTTCTCGTCTGAAAGATCGCGGCGTTATCTCGCTCGCGAGCAAAATCGAGAGATGGATATCTGTTAGACCCGAGCGCGGCCTTTTCAAAGGTCGCGAGCTTTCCTTATTTCCATTTCGCGAGGGGAACAAAAAAAATCGAGAAATTATCATCGTCGCATTGTCTGCGAGCGTGATAAAGAGGTCTTTCGGGGTCATGTTGCAAGAGCACGATGCTGAAACGTACATTGCGGCGTTGCCGAACGTGACGGCGGTCATCCTGAATTACAAAAGAGGGAGAAGAAATAATTCGCGCGAATAGTTTTTTTTTTTCTTCCTACTTTTGCTAATTGCGCGAGATACACGAAAACGTATCGATAAATCCAAACACACAGTCGATAAATCGTGAAATTTCCATTGCGCGATCGCGCGCGTTCTCTCCTTCCGCGTTCGCCCCATCGAGAGTATCCGCCGACTATATACGAGCTGTCATAAATTTATTACCCGCCTCGGCCACCCGCCTCGGGTCCGCAAAGCTTCTCTCGCGAGGGAGGACGAAGGCGAGAGCGTAGCCTCCAAGCGGGACTTTTTGCTCGGTACACATGTGGTCGGCTAGCGCAGCGATTCGGACCTGATAAAAGCTCGGGTCCGAGAGATGATGACGGCCGAGAAAGAGAGACGGAAAGAGATCGTCGGGGAGGAGAAAGAGAGTCTCGGGGAGAGACCTCGCTGCCCGCTAACTTGAGCGAATCGCATGTGCGATGGTGCGCACATCCGCGAGTAGAGAGACGAGAGCGCGAAAGAGAGAGAGAGAGAGAGAGAAACGCGTGCGTGCGTGCGTGCGTGCGTGCGTGTGCCGTGCATTATGCACGTGCACCGCTCACTCGCTGGTCAGCGATGGCGGCCAGCAAAAAGAGCTCTCTGCTACGGCCAGTGTGAGAATGAACTCGGTTATCGGTTATTACGCGCGACGAAGAGCGCGATGCAATTCATTAATCCCGTTCGCGGTCCCACGTCGAGGTGGACTCGAGTGATTTACGAGCAAATATATTTTATGTTTATCTTTTCATTAAGTTTAATTGTTTTCCCAATATCTCTCTATCGGCACAAGGTGTATCGAAGCGCGAGAATCTTTTTTTTTTTTCGTACTTGGATTTTCGTTCGCAGATCGCGGATTGATATTGAATTTTAATCGCGGTCCGCAATACATTTGAAATCTTTCTTTTCTGTGGGGTGGAAAACTGATCGAGAATTGAACAAAAAAAAATTAAAAAAAAAAAATAAATAAAATAAATTATTTACATCCCTTCGCACTCTTACGTGCGTTCCGAATGTCAAAGTAACGTTTCTCAGCGATCATGCGAGTGAGCGAGCGAGTCACAAGTGGTTGGCTCTCGCACGAACAAGGATTTACGAGTTTTCGAGAAAATCATGCCCGTGACAGGTTTACGATATCGCTCGAAACTCTTTGCGACGACGCTCGTAAAAGTCGTCGTCTCGCTTTCGCCGCGTCGATATGAGAATTTTCGAGCTAATAGGACAGAAATTTGATTCGATTTTTCGAAAAGTGCCCTGGACGAATGCCAGCCCGTGATGATTCATTGTGTGTATATAATCTACATTTTATGACGCTTTCAAACGTCTTTAGAGAAAAAAATGTATATTTGACGTTAACTCGGGCGATAAACTTGACTCTCTCTCAACATTTTTCAAATATATTTTACAAACCGTAAACGGAGGAATTTTTTTTTTACAAAAATTAAAATGTGAATAAAATAGCGATTAAAAACCACACGATTATTGGATGTGCGTGGAATCAAACTAATTTTTTATATAAAATATAACGCGCGCGTTTCGATTTTAATTTGGACCGGTACAACAATTTGGTTCTAACTAGACCGCCGCAAGCGGCATTACGTGCTTGGGAAGCCGCTATACTTCCCTCTTTTTTCTTTCTCCGGACCAAAAGGTAGAGTTTTTCGGTCATACCGGAACGCGTGGCGTGCTCCGGGATCGTAAACGCTCGTAAAACAGCGAGGCCTTGTTTCGTCTAATAGCTCAAAACATCGTCGCCCGGGGTTGGCCAAACGAAAAAGTGCCACTATCCCGCGCGCGCGCCCACCCCGTTTTCTCTTCCTTTCCTCCTTCCTCTTCCCCGCTCCGCGCCGATAAATTTCCTCGCGCGCTTGTCAAAACGTTGGTGGGACCATAAATGTCGCCCGGTCCCGCGCGAACCGGAGCGCGGTTATTAACGCGCGACCGACATTTCGCGGCCACCAACGACCCCGGCGATAGCGTATCCTCGCCGGTATTATAACCGGTAGACGTAGTCACCGCTAACGTTACCGTCACCGACGGCGAAACACGAGCAGCGCGCACCACCGTATATCAACTCCGGCCTCTCCAATTTGCCAGGTGATTTTTACGAGAGAACGCGCCGCCGCGCGCAACTTTTATCGCGAAAACATAACGAATCGGGGTGACGAATCTCTTTCGCCGATGACGCCATGTCAGAAGCGGTTTTCTAATATTACAGTTTAATCAAATTTCTCCGCCTTTGTCGCTTAATTATTAACATTTAAAACGTATATACAAGTCTGGAGTCAAATAAAATAAAATAAAATAAAATAAAATTAAAAAAAAAACAAATGCTCGATTCCCGAACAACCATCAGCGCTAATCCGACGTTGCGGTCGACGCAGCTTAACGCTTCAACACACTCGTGTTATCTCTTCGACATGTAACACTTCGCGGGTGAATTCAAACGTTACCCACTAGAGAGAGATTTATCCTCGCGAAGAGGCGCGCGTTCGTCCTCGAGGAATGCCAAGGATGCGCGCCGCGCATTCGGAGAAGCCGAATTTGTGTCCGGCTCGAGGACCTATCTAGCGTCGTAAAGGACCCGGACGACGGGGTTCTTCAGGTCTCTCGAGGACACTCGGACTCTCGGCGGCGGCGGTTTAACTCCCCGAGCTGTCTGTCATGCGCCTTGACGCGCGCGGGAAGGGTTCCCAAAGTGCCCGGTGTGTTGAGAAGCCTATCCACGAGAGAGGTATCCGATCCCACACCGTGTATAAACCGTATAAAGTTTCCTAAGGCTGGCTTCTCCGCAGCGCGTTTCTCCGACGCTGCTTTCCATCAAAAAGTCTCCGCGACCGCCACGATATCGCTGGCCTCCGCTCTGCTTTTTCTTACGTTCGGCCCGTTTGACACTTGATAGCGCCAGACCGGCCTATTAGAACATCTACTACGCGTACTACAAGAACGTACATGTATCCGCGCGATACGTACTCGCGCGCTCACGTACACACGCATGAAGATGCGCGCACGTGTACGTACGAATACATAAAAGATGACGTAGGCAGACACGGACACGTGGTATATCTACGATACGAGATGCGAGGCATTCTCTTTCTCTTCTCCTCTTCCTCCTCCTTCTCCTCTTCGTCGTCGTCGTCGTCGTCGTCGTCGTCGTCTTCTTCTTCTTCTTCTTCTTCTTCTCGTGAGTTCGAGGAGTCGTCGTTTCTTGCCGCCGTCCGTCCGTCAGATACGATCTTTTCCGTTTGATAAATCACTACCGGAAATTCCGACAAAAACGCGTATCGTTCTCTTTCTGCCTTTCGTTCGTGTTCCAGATATTTAATTGGCGAGCACTCGTTCAAGCGGAGTTTCTTTTTCCCGCTAGAGAAAATTCTAACACAAACTCTTACGCGCGCTACGTGTATACCGTACCTGTATTATTTTTTGCCCTGGATTCTTTATTCACGCGCAATTGCATGCGATATAGAAAAACAACGAATAGACACATGTGTGCGTGTGCTTTGAAAAAATATCTTAATATGTAGAGGATACATCTCGCCGTGCGGTCTAGAAAGAGGGAAACAAAGATCTCCTTCATGCAATTTATTTATTTATCATCTGTCCTTAAGAAATTGGAAGGAGATCAAAATGATGGGAGGAAAGGAGATGGGCGAATTGTATCGTATTTATTTTTGTGTATATTAAGAGTATTTTTTCACATATTTTTTACACTACGTATTATAATATCAATATCATATTTCTGTAAAATTATGATAAATTTATATTATACTTATGTTTAGCTTCTCTCTCGCTATTTTCTTCCCCGACTGTACACGTGTGTACGTGTGTGTGTGTGTGTGTTCCGTCGATACTTAAACAAAATCAGCTTTCACAATGATCTCAGAATTATATCTATCTGTCAGTTCATTGTGAAAACCAGTTTCGTCTTAATTGCCAGTGATGACTTCGATTTCGTTCGTAGATCGCCATTGTCCACCACGGATTGGATTGGAGTGTCCCAGCTCTCTATGGCCTCGTGTTTGTCAATTCAGAAAGCTATACGTGTTTCCCGTGTCTCGTGCAACACAAACGATCCTGAAAAATAAAAACAGAACGAATTGATTACACAAAAGATTCTAAAAAAAAAGGAGCGCAAGAGAAGGGAGGAAAAGTGTGTCTCTCTCTTTCTCTCTCTCTCTCTCTTGGTTTCCTCAGCTCGTGTATTTTTCACTTCTGCGGATTTTTAAAGTGGGCCGCGACGAATGGCCGATGCTCTCGAGAAGAAGGAAGAGAGAGAGAGAGAGAGAGAGAGAGGAGGTTCTCGAGCTCCGAATTTCTGTGAACGTCCTAAAATAACAGGCAGACTTGTGCCAGACGTTGTCAAAATTCGTAATTTCGAGAATCGGTCACCCTTCGCGAACGCCCTTTGAACATCGTTGCGAACATCCTTTGTAAGCCGCTGCCTCGAGGCGAAGAAAAATGGCACACGCGCGGGCGAACGACGGGCTTGTGTGCAGAAGATACCTACACTTAAGTAGGAGATATCCTTTTTGTACGTAATTAGCTGTTACATCCTTAAAACTGCGCGTGACATTTTCGCGCGAACAGCACGTGCGGCCGGGACTCGAGAAAACGGTACGTATTTCCGGCTTCTTTGACAAAACGGTACGACGTAGGTACGTTTGTTGCTTTGTGAACAAATCGACGTAGAGAGAAAGAGAGAGAGAGAGAGAGAGACACGGAGCGGTGTCGCCGGACAGGTCAGACACCATATGACCGAAGCGCACGCGGCAGATTACCCCGAGGATGACCTCGAGGAATGCAGAGAACGATGATCGGTGATATTTAAACCTCATCGATCCTTAATCGACGAGTCTACTTGGGAGGTTTTCATCGTACCAGCGGGGAATATTATAAAGCAATTTATTAAAAAATCGATGTTTAATATCATCTCTCCGAGATGAAAAAAAAAAAAAAAAAAAAACGTATATTGCGCGCCTTTAAATCGCACTGGTTAAGTCAACTCTGACTTGTATTTGTGCACATAAAAAAAGTTTATTTAAGAAATTAACTCGCGGATAAATAATCGATCGCCAACGTTCGACACGTTTCTTCGCGATTTTCGTCGTTGATCAGCGACCAACTGCGCAAGGATCTATCGGAATGTATGCATTATTATATTTTGCACGTGCGCTATCGGTACCGCCTGATAACGACACATCGGTTACACACGGAGCCCTGATAAAGATACGCCACGACCCCGCCGCGACCCCGTGGTCATATTCCATGAAAGAGAATCAGCACACGAGGATTCGATCTTCTTCCTTACGCCAGAGATTATTTGCGAGTGAAATGAGACCCGCGATATTATACACACAGAGAGAGAGAAAATTCATTGATTCTGCGCGTTCTGTTCGCTCGCGAGAAAAAAAATACTATTCGTATATAAATGAAAAAACGTAATTCTTTTAATTTGATTTAAAACTCCAAGTGATTTCGGTGTCTCTCTGACACTTATACGATTCGTGATATCGTCTCTCGTAACACTCCACAGATCCCTGAACGGTGTCTACTGTTTTCCGTGTATTTATGAAAGACTGCGAGGCGATGGATTAAAAAGGAAGAGAGTGTACGCACGTCGTAATGCCGATATCTTTCGTAATTGTACGCACCGCCGCGGTCGGTTCGCTCGATGATTGCGAGGGAAAGAGAGGTATATATATATATATAATAATAATCATTTACGCCGCGTGCGTAATCGAGCCCTTCCGAGAATCGGGCCGCCACTTTTATCTAATTAACGCGGTCGCAACCGAGCCGCGAGACATTTATCCGAACGGTCCGAAGCGATCGTAAAACTTAATGAGCGACGATCACCGGAACATAGTTAATGTGCGTGCGCAAGCCAAGTTGGCTGTTATCGTGAAATTTACCGCCTGTTATCGCGAATCGTTGCCCGACAATCGCAGTTACAAAAAGAAAAAAAAAAAAAAGAAAAAAAAACGAAGAACCGCGCGTGATCGTTCGGATTATTTATCGTGTCGTTACGCAACATCGCGCGCGAATTGTGTTATTCAAATAAATTGTTTATGTTGTTGTTGAATGTTTTCCAAAGTATAAATATCTCCTGTGAGAAATAACATTTCAATAACAAACTAATGATTTAATTACAACCTAATGGCTTTACACGCCACGAGAGGTTGGAAAAAATTAAAATAAATTATAAAATAAATAACAAAGAAAAAACAATATAAAAAACATGCTTGATGTAAAAAACTGAAAGGTCGTATATCGCGCGAACAAAAAATAACATCTATCGGTAAGTTACACGAAGAAATGTCCGCCGTACGGTACATTCGATGACATTATCTACAGTAGGAGTATCAGAGAAACTGAGACTTACCGATCGCGAGTAATAGAAATCTGCACGTCCACTCATCGTACAATCGTTTCCTGCATTACCGACATCTGAGAAGTTAGCACAGTTTACCTACAGAAAGTCACGTGCGTACGCGGCGCCACACGAGAGACCATGTGCGTTTTTACAGACAACTGTTTTAAGAACGTCACACAAATGTTCTCTGGGAAATTTCCTCTAATACGTCTAATGCGCGACAGAAAAACGCCATTTGCGCGAAAGGTGTTCAAATATATCCCCGTAATGCGCAAACAAAGTTATGCACGCGCGTACACGTTATTGTTTGCGGAAATTCCCATGCAATTATAAAAAAAAAAAAAAAAAAATTGTATGAAACAATAAAGTAAATTTAGACACAAACACAATAAAAAGAATCTTATCAAAAGATCTCGTCGCGGGATATAAATGTGTTTATTTCGTCGAGATAGTGCATGAATTTTTACATTACCTCAGCAAATAAGTTTGAAACCAGTTTTAAAAATCTCGTTGTGCAAATCTCTCTCTTTCTCTCTCTCTCTCTCTCTCTCTGTCGTCTATAAATTTATTCGCAACGTGCGATTAATTTCCTAACGTGTACATCATCGGGACAACCGTGTGTGTTTCGTCGAAATTTATACCGGTTTTTAATCTCCAGATCGAAACTCTCTCTCGGCGCGCGAAAGGGCGTAGTAAGCGGAAGAGGCGTAAAAGTCATTCAGTCCAGCGGCGAGCCATTGATAGAGGCGACGAAGCGAGGTCAGCTATTTGTACGCGTGACAGACCCCTCCGGAGAATCTCGCGCACGGACATGCGGCGGCGGTGGTGGCGCGCGCACGCACGCACGCACGCACGCACGTACTCGAGTTGGGTGTATACGTACATACGTGCGTGACACATCCGCGTTGCGTGTTACAAGATCGATTCCGAAGCTCAATACGGTGGCCGAAAAAAAAAAATCCACGAAGGAGAGAAAAAAAGATATCGGTAGATTATCCGGACCTCGTTAGAGAGACCGGTCGTTATTCACTCGCTATCACGCGTCCCGATAGATCGGTTTGCACGAACGTTTACACAGCTGCTGAACAGCATCGAGAGATATCTGGTACCTACCTACCTACCTACCTACCTACCCACCTACCTACCTACCTACCTACCTAGAGATTCGCCGCGTGTCTCCTGCTCGCGTGATTGTGTATTTGTAATTGTAGTAGTTCCATTTCGCCTGGATGTGCGTTTCAACGTTAATTAAATGACGTTTCTCTCTCAGTCTTCTCGATATTGCGATTATCAATTCTCTCTTCCATCAAACGACCTGTTTTTTTTTCTTTCTATGAAACAGGTAGTGTCGAAAGATCTTCATTTCTTTTTGCTTCATAAAATCGGACGCACACGCGCGCACGGGGCGACGCAAAAGTCGATATTTCGAGAGTCCCGCGACACGTCGTCCCAAAAGATCGATTTGCATACAATAGCGACGCTGGGCATTCAATATGGTTCGGAGAACATCTCGCGCGGCAAGCATGCGCGGGTAACGAGCGATTAAAGAAACATTAACGCGTTACAAAACCGCATTAAAAAAAAAGGCGGCGGCGCGTTGATGTCATCGCCGAGTCACGATCGTGAATGCCGATTAAACGAATGCCGCGTTGCGTATGTGTGTGTATGATCGCGGAGGCGGGGATGTGTAAAAGAAGACCCCGAGTGTGTGTGTACGTGTGTGCGGGTGTGTGTGTATTACGCGAAAGAGGCAGAGATGTTTTCTATGCAAGTCCCCACGTTCGCGCGCGCAGGAGAACACCTTGACAAGGCTGTTTACTCTTCTCGGGGAAATTTGTTCACGCGAGAGAGAGAGAGAGAGAGAGAGGAGTTGAATAATTGGGTGACAGAGCAAGTGGAGAGAAACGCGACGGAAATAGATTTAAGACAAACAGTTGAAAATTTACAAACGTCCTCGGTGTGTCATGTGCGCGACAAAAAATTCTTAAAAATTAATTCCAAGTTAAATGTCATTTAATTTTTGCGCGCGCTCGCGACGTTCTTGGGAAATGTGCAAATTTTAATAAAAAGAAAAAAAAAACTTCTCGATATCTTCAGTATTTATCTTCTTTTGTACGAATTATCGATAAAGCAGCCTAATTGATTATTCCGGGCTATTGTTACATTGTTCGTTGTAAATTTCCAAGTATTTTCCTCAATTCGATGGAATATCGATCGACGCGTGACGAGAAAAACATGTATGTAACAATATGAGATATGATGTTACTTTCCTTGTTTCTTCATAATTCATTCAATTATTGCGAAACGGCTGCGGGCAAAGTCGCGGGGGCGTTATGGAGAAAAGCCTTCTCTTCGATTGACGTAATTCGCTCTAAACTAACTTGCGATCGATGCAGACGCTGCACGTGAGCCACCAAGACATGAACAACTATATAACTGCACGCGTCCCGAAATAAAATTATTCGCTGTTCGAAGTACTAGGCTGTGAAAGAAACATCGAAAGCGTTGCTTCAAGATTTTTCATCGCTACGCAGACGAATTTTCGCCAAAGTCAATGTTTTTTTTTTTTACGTTTTTAATATCTTTTTCGATTTTCGCAAAGATCTCGAATGCGCGTGCTTAAAACTCGCGCAACACGAAAGATGACATTTCTACAATCCGCGTTGTGCGAATTGCGTTGAAAACGAATGCATGCATGATT